ATATATATTAGATGATAAATTATAATTAATTGGATTATTAATTGATTGATGATTTAAGTATTTATGATTGATTGGTAATATTTGATAGGTAATGATTGATTGGTAATTTGATTAGATATGATGAGTTAGCATTGAATCAGTAATGTATGAAGTCAATATCTGAGTCAAATACATCAATAAAGAAAAAGGAAATAAATGCACGAAACCCATATCCGAGCCCAAAACTTCAACTATAAATAGAGGCCTAGCCTAAACAAACTAATTCACTCTCCAACATTTCTCCTCTACTACTCTCTCTCCTTACTTCAAAAGTTTATTTGTTTTATTTTCTATATTCTTTTGGTTACCAACCGGTTCTCTGCCCCAATTTATTCTCTTCTAGAAGTTAGCAAAAACGGAGACTAGGTAATCCTAATCCTTAGGTATTTTTAGATTATATTTATTTTATGTGAAATTTGGTATGTGTAATCCTAATCCTTAGGTTATAATCTTGTTTGAAGTTTATTAATAGTAATCCTAATCCCCAGATGTTTGTAGGTTATCTGTATTATATGAAATTTGGGCATGATCCTTATATGTAATCCGTATATGTTCTTAATAGTTTGGTATGAACATTTCTATATATATAGGTATTTGTTTTTTTTAAATTTAAATTACTACATATGATAATTAGAATATGGATACAAGTTGGAATGAAAGAGAATTCCGAATCAGCTTGCAATATATGATATAAACTTTTATTTTAGAAATTATGATTATGTGCAATATATGATATAAAATGTTATTATTTTAGAAATTATAATTATGTGCAATGTATGGTATAAGACTTAATTCAGGTGCAATATATGGATCTTATTGAATAATTATGAAAATTATGGAATTATAATACTCTTTAAGAAAAACTTTCCAAATATGTGTTTTAATGATTGAATTTGAATATTTATAACTATGATAATTGATGTGATGGGATTATTTGAATGACGATGATTGGATTTGAATTTTTCTATGATGAATGTTGAAGATTTGAATTATTATATCCTTGAATAAATTGGAAAGTTATGATGAGGATCAGATTTGGATTTTACTGTGATGAATGTTGAAGATTTGAATTATTATATCCTTGAACAAATTGGAAAGTTATGATGAGGATCAGATTTGGATTTTATTGTGATGAATGTTGAAGATTTGAATTATTATATCCTTGAATAAATTGGAAAGTTATGATGATGATCGGATTTGGATTTTACTGTTATGAATGTTGAAGATTTGAATTATCATATCCTTGAATAAATTGGAAAGTTATGATGATGATCGGATTTGGATTTTACTATGATGAATGTTGAAGATTTGAATTGTTATATAAATTCGAGAATTTATGATAATAGTTGTTTGAATTATGATACTTTGGAAAATTATAATGCCCTTGAGTAACTCATTTAGAGATGATAATACTTAAAGAATAAATAATTATGATTGAATCTTTCCTGATTGTGTGTGTTTGTAATAAATTAATGGTGGGAGGATAGCTTTGAGATGGTACCTTCCAAAGTGATGAACACAACTTTTGGGCTTTATGCCTCCGATGTGAAATTGATGTGAAAAAGATTGTATCCGTTCTTCCCAAAGTGGTATCTGGTAACGGTGGTTTTTTCCCGGGATACTAGTAGCAACTTTGGGAAGAGGTGTGCACACTAGGAAGATGTGAATTGATTATGGCCAATTTTGATTATACGTGGCTGGTAACAGTGGTTTTTTCCCGGGTCACGGGGTAGACTGGCAGGGTTTCCCGGGTCTACCATGGTTCTCTTCCCACTAAATATAATGAACTTAAACATTATTAATAATGAAATTTGTTATTTGATTTGATTATGAAGAATGTCATTGAGTTGTGAATATTATCATATTATGACTAATGTTGTGCTAAATATGTTAGTTGATAATTACCAAATACATCAAATGAACTTAATAAAGATAAATATTATATAATGGAATTTTGATTATTATATTCATATTTGATTTGATTAATGTGGAATCGATTTGAACACTATTTGATATTTGATTTAATTTGTTATTAATTACATTAATCGTATTTTGATTGGGATTACCAGCTTTGCTGACTTTTGTGTTTGTTTGACTGCAATGATCCTGCGGCTGCGGGGGAGCAGATTTTCAGTGAAGCATTTTGCAAAGGATGGGGCTAGCTGTGGGCAGTGAGGATCACGACTCGGATATTTCTAGCTGTCATAAATATTATGTATAAAAAAAAACTGTAGTCTTAGATTTTTATTTGAATGTAATAGAGTTAGCCTTGCACTTGTCCCTGTACAAGTGCGGCGGTAACACTTCCCAAATTTGATTATTTTGAACTTCCGCTGTTATTTATAAAATTATTGAATTTATTTATGCTATTATAAACTGTTAGAAATTTGGGGTGTTACACTGAGCCCATGGATGAGTCTCATGTCCTCTGTCGAACGATTTTGATATGCATGAATTGTACTGAACTTTTCTGATTGGCAATGATTGTTATGCGAGTGAGATTTAATCCTCATGTTGTCCAATTTACAGTCATTATGATGTCTGATTGACACTGTCAGGTTGATACTTGTTATCATACTCTGATGGTCATTGACCATTGCTTATGGTTATAACTTATAAGATTGATAAGTTATCAAAAAGGAATTTTGTTTTAGAATAAGATGATATACTTTGATTATTATGGAAATAGTTTTATACTATGCAATACATCAAGTGAAAAAGAAAAGAAAAAAGTTAATTCATAGGGTTACATAGGTTAACGACGAGACTTTTAAGTAAGACTTTCGCTTATGCATGTTAATTATATTGCACTTTAATATCATATATATGTTAACTAACCGGCTCGAGACAGAGATGTTACAGATTTGATCCACAGGTCAAACCATTAATTTGGTAGCTGAACTGAGTCAATAACCGACTTGATTTTGGTAAACAAATGTTAATATTTTAATTTAAATTGTCGTATATAATTTAGGCAAACCTTCATTTTAACCCCTTGTGGTTTAATGGAGTATCAGTTAACCCTTGTGGTTTTAAACTTGTCATTCTTACCCATTGTGGTTAAATAAGTTTATAGTGTAAACCACTGTGATTTCAAACATTAAATTACATCCATCGTGGTAACAAAAATATATCACTTAGACCCTGATGGTCTTATAAATTTAAAATTCTTTATTTTTTCTATCTTTTATTTTATATAATTATAAAATAAAATTTTAATAAAATTAACTATTAATGATTAAATTTAGAAATATTTAAATTTATTTATTTTATAACTTTTTTAAAAATATCTTAAATTTTTGTAGTTATATAAAAATATATTTAAAATTAAGAATATTATTCAACATAAATTAAAGACTTATTAGTTGAATAAATTTTTTATTTTAATTTTTTAAAAATATGAAATAAAATAAATAAATAAATAAATAAAATAATATTATATTTGACTTAAATTTATTTTTATGATAAAAATATAAGACCATAAGATTTAAATGTACATCATCTAATGAATTTAATAAAATAAAATAAAATATTTTTTTTAACGTAAAATAAATGCCTATATAATACATTTATATATATAAGGGCATGTTTGGTGTGATGTATAAGGCCTGATAGTATAAGCTTATACTATACATTAATGAATTTTCAGTTGTTTGGTGTAACCATTGTATAGTATAAGCTTATACAGCAGACCCCCTAATACATCAAAATGATGTATAACTTACTCAAGCCTAGAGAGGTGGGATTAGACCTGATAAGGAATTGATGTATTAGCCTAATCCCATCCCATTCTTCTCTTTCCCATTATAACCTTTTACCCTTAACCCCCTTTCTTCCCCACCCCGCTGTAACCTCATTTCTTCTTTTTCCCCATTTCTTCTTCTTCTCAAATCACATCAGTGTAGAAAGTTGTAACAAAATTGAATTCTGATTTTTCAAATTGTTACAATAATAACAACGAAACCTTGATGCTAGTGCCAGCTTGGGAGGGAAACATTGTCCCCATTTTAACACATTGTGTTTGTATTGACGGAGATCCCAAAACTTGCCTCCCATTCTAATTTATGCATTTATCTTCTACAATCTGCAATCAAATCCAGAGACGCATTCATCGTAAGATCTATTCATGCTCGAATCATCAAATAGGGCTTTCGCATGGGTGTTTTCTTGATGAACAACCTCCTCAATTTCTATGCTAAAATTGGTTCCTTCTCTCATGTTCACCGCGTGTTCGGTGAAATGCCCCTTAAGACCTCATTATCTTGGAACACCATTTTCTCCGATTATGCTAAAGGGGCGACATGGAAGCTGCACACTGTGTGTTTGATGAAATTCCTCAACCTGATTTAGTCTCCCAATAATAGTTTTTTTGTTAAAATATTAATTTTTATTTCTACAAAATTTATTTATTTTTTAGACATACTAAATTAATATCATATGACATATATAGAAGAATTATATAAAAAAATTATTAAAGGGTATCTTTGTCAAAAATATTTTTTTTTATCCTATCTAGTATTATACAGTGCATTACCAAACACTGGATAATATTATTTTATACAATACATTATCTTATACAATGTCAAGCCAAACGTTGGATAGTATTAAAATCTAATCAGGCCTTATACTATCAGGTCTTATACTATCAGGTCTAATCTTATACTATGCACCAAACATGCCCTAAAATATGTGTGTGCCCGCGCGTGTGCATATGTAAAAGATCACAACGAATCTAAGTAATATATTTTTATAATCACGGTAGATGTACATAAAATAGAAAGGGAAATGTGGTTTACCGAAAAAAAGAAGGAAAAAAAGAGGGGGATGTGGTACAAAATTTTTGTGGGCCGTAATCAAACCCGTTTTAAGCTGAGTTGATCGAGAACGAGGCCCATTAACTAAACCAAACCATCTTTTATCACAGCAGAGTTAGGACCTGGACGAGTTTGTGAATTCTGAATTCTGAATTCTGAATTGAGGTATGAAAACTCGTTACTCTCTCTGATCCAACCTAAGTTTCTCGTTGCTTGACTTCAACCCAACCATAACTATCAATTTTATCACAATATTTGTTTACGGTGATTGATGATAAGTTTCGTGAGTTTGATTATTTTCTCTTTGCGTTGTTGTTATTATATTTTACTTCCAATTTTGTTTGTTTGTTGAAATTTTTTCAATGGTTATTATGTATGGAGCATGCAGTAGTCGTTGGTAGATAATAAAGATGAACCACAATCCGCAATCAAGCGAAGGAAGGCATGATGATGATGCTGCACTCTCTGATTTCCTTGCTTCCTTAATGGATTATACTCCCACTGTGAGTTTCTTACCATCCAATATCTTATATTGCTTATTTTCTACATCCAAAAAAAATTAAAAAACCCTTCTCTTTCTTTTTTCCCCTTTTGGTTTGAATTTTTTTTTATAGATACCTGATGAGTTGGTGGAGCATTACTTAGCCAAGAGCGGCTTTCAATGTCCTGATGTTCGATTGTGGGTACCTCTTTATTCACCAAAAATTATTTTCGCTGTTTGTGCCTCTTATTATGTCGACCATGTTTATATTATTGTTTGCTGAGAAAATAAGAATTAGTGGACTTTTATGCAAGGCTTCTTGTGAGGAAACGAGTTCTTTACCATGCTTTCGGGTTTTCTTCTGTGATTTCATCCGAGAGCATGCTGTCAGGTTCAATTATCCAAATGTAGTTTTAATGTTTGATTGCATTTTGCATTCTGCTGGTGCTTGGACTGTTGGCTAATGCATATGTTTGACATTTTTCTTGTTGGGCTTCCTGTATCTATTTTTAATCCATTTTCTGGTCTTGGGCGGATCACACTCACGTTTTCTGCTCCTCTCTTATGCAACTTATCTTCCTCATCATTCTACTCTGTCCAAAAAAAAAAAAACTTCTATTGTGCCTCTCTCTTTGTCTCTCTCTCTCTCTCTCTATATATATATATCGCTCTAAATTTTTGCCTGAATTGAATTATTGACTGCTTATGTGGTCATCATAAATGCAACTTCCAAACAATTGATCGAAACCGAATGTCATGTTGCTGAGAAATGTGAAAAAAGAGGAGATAAATCTAAAGTCCATGTGTTTGCAAGAAGTTGAGGGCTAGAGCAACATGACAAGTTTGTTGGATATCTCTACATATGTTCTGTAAAGATTAAAGGCAGAATAGATCTTTTCATGGAGGAAAAAAAACATCATAGTCCTTTGAACAGCACTATGACATGGACCCCATCATATCTTTGTGTGCCTCTAGATCGACCAATTTGAGAGTTTTTAAGTTGTATAAAGACATAAGAGATAAGTTATCTAAAACTATAAATATATATGAGATTAGCAGTTTATGCTATTATATTTTCTGCTAAAGACCTTTTACTTTTGTCTTTAATAATGTTAATGCCTATTGCTCTTTCTTTGGGATCCTATACCTAAATGGAATCTATATATGATGTTGCATTCCTTCTTTGGCAAATGAGGGCAGGCAGTTATTTTAGAGCAATTTAAGCCAAAGAATGATGAAATACGCAAATTGTGCTAGTGTGATTTTCTTGCCATTTTTTCACTTTTTATTTTCACTCTAACTCAGGATTTATTTTGGTTTTCTTGCTGTCTATTGTTGTTTTGAATCTCTGATAAAGTTGAACATGTGTACTTGGGAATTTGTTAGGGGTTCAACATTTCTTCCATTTTGGTTGACTCTTGTTCACTGATTTATTTCTACTTAAGTTAGATTCCTAGCCCAGGAATTTTTTGCGAAATATACTGTGTGCTTGACTAGAAATACTCATCACTATTTCAGGACTAGACTGGTAGCTGTTGCCACTCAGAAGTTTGTTGCAGAAGTTGCAGGCGATGCACTTCTGTATGTTCATATTAACTTTGTTTGATTTTATTGAAACTTTGCATTCTTTTTTTTGTTTCATTTAAATTATTTTAACCTTGAATCATTGCTTCATAGCAAGTTATTTATATGCATAGTAAAGTTGGGGAGTATGCTTCTCTAGAGATCTGTTTCTAGTTTCCCTAAAAGTATTTAACTGTTGGCAAAAGGTAGTTCTTGCATGTGGGTGAAGTTGTTGATTGCCTGGTGGAAATTTGTTTCTTTAATGAATGAGTGTCTAAGGCACTTTATAGGATAACAAACACATAATTCAATGGAATTCTTTTGCACAATTGCACTTAATTTTTGTGTTTTTATCCTTTTCTTTTGTAAAGGTCCATAAATGTACACACTAAAATGAGGCAAACTATGAGAGGAAGAACGTAAATTAGAAAATTTAATGTCAAGGTTGTTGACTGACTTTCACTCCCTAGGACAGCTTTGTCCTAACTTTTTGGCATAATAGTAGCTGGCTTTGTATTTTGAATGCTTGTTTCTTTGTCTAAGTTGATTGGTTTTCTTGGTTTTATCATTATGAAGTATAACAATGTGATTTCTCCCTTTTTATTATCATCTGTAACTGCATTACTATTTCTTTTTACCAGGTCCTAAGTGCATTGTTATTGGTCATTTAATTGTTCCGTCTTTCTTTTACATGTCTGTCCTGGCATGATGATTTCACTAGATGTTAACTGTAGGCACTGCAAAGCAAGACAAGCAACAATTCCAAAAGATAAAAGGGACAAGCAACAGAAGGTTTTGACTGCTTTTACCTGGTTTTATCTATTCATTTTCTGTGTCTAGTATTTACATTCTGTTATAACAGGATAAGCGCCTAGTTTTGACAATGGAAGACCTATCAAAGGCACTGAATGAGGTAAGAATTGTTCTCTAGATTTAAAAGGTAGAAAAGTTTCCTCTCTCCCCATTATAAGTGTCAAAAGACTAAAGACATGCAATCTATTATTTGTTTTATTTATATTTTCACAGAACCTTAATCATTAAGCTATATATATATCCACTGTCTTCTAGACCAGATTGCAACACCCCATCCATCTTTTTAGCCTTTAGCATAGCTAGCTATTGCATACAACCAGCACCACTAGTCTAAGGCTCATAGAATCAATCATTCAACTCCCTTGAAAGCTTACTGCTCAGCTTTTCTTTGCTTGTCGCTTTGTCACAAGTTTAGAGTAGATGGTAGTGATTTTGGCTTATATTCACTAGGCACAGCAGGCAGAAAGCCTTGCCACAGTCATGGCGATTGACATGTCTTCTGAGAGAAGAGAATTGGGATCAAAATAGAAGTCTGGTCTCTGCTGCTTTGAACACCACTACAACCTATGACATCTGTCACTACTTTCTATCCTTTTTTTTTTTTTTTTTGGTCTGAACTGAAGAATGAAGACAATGACTCTGAACTGGAAGTTTGGTGCTTTCTGGATCAATGTGTGATAGGCTTCTGACCAGTTTGAATGGGTTTGCTGATTTTTAAGTTTCCCTGTTTAGGGCCTAGTCCAGCTGGTCTAGGCTGGTTTATTTTTAGTGAATTCTTTGTTTACAAAGGATTTGGGCGATCACACACATGCAGGGTGGTCTAGCCTGGTTTTCATGACCTTGTTTTTAATCTTCTTCTGGGATCAATGTTATTGTAGTAAACTGAGCTAGATTTGCAGATAAAGTATAGTTCATTTTTCATGAATTGTGCTGATATGTTTATGTTTCTTTACATTTAATCCACTTGTTATCTTTTATGAACAGTATGGCGTGAATTTAAAGCACCAAGAATATTTTGCTGATAGCCCTTCTACTGGAATGGATCCTGCTACTCGGGATGAATGAGTCCTTTCTTGTTTATTTATGTGTTCAGGCTTCTAAATTCTCATGTTTAGTAAGTACTGCTTTTTACCAATGCGGGTCTATTCTATTGAGATGTTGCTTGTTCTTTAGTTTTATGTTCTGTATCTGAAGTCGTAGCTCAGTATGCCCATTTATGTAGTTTGATGCACGTCATTTTAGGGGCTTGTATTTGTGTTTAATTCCATGTTTTTAACTAGTTGTCAAATTTGTTTTGCAGGAATGAAATAGTTGTTAAGGGAATGATTTTTATGATGCACAAACTAGAGCGTCATCTCCTCGAAGCTGACAAAGCGCTACAATTGTTAGCCATTAACATTAAAGGTGGTTGTAATAACTATTATATTTGGTCTGTGGGGTCAGTGGCAGTGGGAGTACGCTATCAGCACTGAACTAGTCTAATTTTTTTTTTTTAAATGCTCTGTTGTATCATGTTTTTCCTTTGGTTCTGAATTTTCACGAGTATGGGATTGATATAAAAAATTGCAAAAGTCATATAGGTTGTTATGTTTATTCATTTTCGTCTAATCTTTTTTCAAGAAAACATGGAAGGTATATCGTGACTTCATTTGTGACTTCCAATCAGTTATGAAAATAACCATTGTATACAAAGTATATTTAGTACAACTGGTCCTTGCTTATATATATAGTTAGAGACTATCGTCTTCATCTCCCAATAGACTTTGCTACATAAATTCTTAAAGACGACAGTTGGACACAAATGTAAGAATAAAAGTAATGCCGGTGGAGAAATTAAAAAGAAAAAAAGAATTCGGTTTTCAACCCGAACTGTACAAGGTAGAAACATGCCACACTTAGCAATTATGGTGGGGCCAAGGTCAACTAACACAAGATATAATCCATTTTTAAAGATTGTTTGCTTGCGGGTTTCGAACTATATGTGGGAAAGGAGTAGGAGTGTTGTTGTTTTCTAGGTCTCAATTTATGAGAATTTGATGGTTTACAAACCATTCCTAACAAATGAAAAATGTGAAAATTTACATGCAACGTTGTTGTTTTTAAGGTCTCAAATCTCAATCATTTACATGAACTTACTTCTCTTTCAATTTGTGGTTATGAAAATTAACATAGAACATCGTTATTTTCGAGGTCTCAATCATTCACACGGACCAACTTCTCATTCCATTTGTGGAAAGTTAATGATCTATATTGTTGGCAGGTGAAATTATATATGGAGCATTGTTGTTCCCGAGGTCTCAACCTAGTTCAATAGAAATTTAATAAACCGTTCCTAACGAACAATCGCCTTATATTTAAGCACCATCATTTCATGCAAACTTGGTGACAATAAAATTCCGCTCTTTATCTTATAATTGACTTGAAAAATCAATAAAATATTTTTTCCTTAAAATAGTTTAAATTGAATTATTCTTATGTCACACAATTGTCTTGGTAAAATTTGCAATTAGTAAATCTTCTGCTAATTTTGCAAATTAGTAAAATTTGCAAAATAAGTTTTAATCCAATACTTGCCCAGCCCTCCAAACTCTTTGGCAAAGTATAGTTATTTTCTTTGAGATAGGTTATTCTATCTTTCTTTTCTCTCTCCTATCTTTGCCTCTTATGTTTTTTTCCTATATTTTTCAACATCATTATATCAGAATTTTAATAAGAGAGAAAATGATAAAGGTGATTGAGATTCCTATTTAATAATATTGGAAAGTGATAAATAAAGGTAAACGGAAAAAGAGATAGACAGAATAAATATCGACAACTAATTTGACGAGATAAGTTATTCTACTTACCGTTTTTTTGTCTATCTTTACTTATCATTTTCTAATACCGTTAGATCAAAATTTCAAATGAAGAAAAACAATAAAGTTAATTGAGATTCTGATTTAACGGTAGTAGAGAGTAGTAAACAAAAATAAACAGACAAAAAGATAGATAGAATAATACGTTCCTAGAGATGGACGGTATAGCAAAGAAATAATTTGAATATTTATGATACATATATCTAAAAACAATTTTCCCCATAATGTGGAGGTGGACGGTATAGCAAAGAAATAATTTGAATACTTATGATACATATATCGAAAAACAAATTTTCCCATAATGTGGAGGTGGACGGTATAGCAAAGAATCAGTCTAAATGAAACCCTAATCAATAATCGTGTAAAAAAAATAAAATCATTTTTTCATTTAATAGAAGATAATTTTCTCATATTACGAGACATCGAAAATCGTGATATCTTTTTTGTTTTTTCTTCTTTTTTAACAAGTGGTGTGCATCACTTATTATATCTATGACACAAGAGATCATATCCGATATGATATAAGAAAAGAGAAACCAAAAAAAAATAAAAATGGTTAGTAACGAAGATGTGGATACAGCAAGAACTTAAAATTGTTTTCATCTTACAGCCGCCTTGGATTTTTCTCTTTCCTTGCTATCTTAATCTGTTATCATCATATTCACTATTCATTCATATCATCTTCTTTCATCACCAATCAAACCCTAACCCTAATCCTCTGTTTAAATCCATCAGTTCTCTTTTCTTTTCTTTCTTTGATTTATTTATTTATTTTTTTCAAATTCTTTCGTCAACTCACACGCAATTTCATCCATGAATCGGATCTTGGAGCTTTCGTAACACGCATATAATGATCGAAGTGGTCCTTAGCGCTGCGAATCGATTGCATGGGTTTAGAGAATGGCGGAGCTTCGTAGTGGACCGCGACGTCGTCGGGCTCCGGTAGGCCCTAGAAGCTGCGAACCACTGTCTCCGGCGGCCAAATACGTGAAGACTCGGGCTGCAGTCGCCAGGGAAGTTGCGGCAGCAGAGGCGGCGGTGGTTGAGAGGCCGAGGACTCGATTGGTGGCCAAGAAATTAAAGCAGGAGAAACCGGTGATCGTGATATCGGAGAAGGAAGAAATTGAAGGCGTGATGGGTGATGATAGTGGTGGTTTAAGCGCTAATAAAGGCGTTGCTCAAGAGGATGAGGGCAACACTCCTCCTTTTCCTGAGAGGGTATTGTATTCTTCACTTCTTGCTTGCTATTGTAGTTTCCCATTTAGTTACTTAAATAGTATTCATCGTTGAATGGTTAATATATTGGTGCTTGCTTATTCATTTCTATATCCTTTTTTTTTTTCATTCCTTTGTTTATTGAATTTGTTTTCAAACCAAAGGTTCAAGTCGGAGGATCGCCTATATACAAAGTGGACAGGAAACTGGGTAAAGGTGGCTTTGGACAGGTTTTTGTTGGCCGTCGAGTCACAGGTGGTAATGACCGTACTTCTGGCCCTGGTGCCACTGAGGTAAGCTTCTCTTGTTACCTGAGGTTTGTATATGGTTGAAGAATTTTTATGGCTTTAAGTTGATTGCTATCTTTCACATTTCAGGTGGCTCTGAAATTTGAACATAGAAACAGTAAAGGCTGTAACTATGGCCCTCCGTATGAGTGGCAAGTGTACAAGTGGGTACTCTATTTATTATTATGTTATTTATATTGTAATTTGTAAATTTGTCTTAAAAGTAAATTTGCCTGAGATTTTTTTTTTTTTTTTTTTGGTAAGCACCCTTGGTGGCAGTCATGGAATACCTAAAGTACATTATAAAGGAAGGCAAGGAGAACATTACGTAATGGTATGATCTATACAAAAGCCATTATTTATCTATTTGCAACTTGACCTTTGACTTTTTTTGCGTAAATTATTATTTGTATATATGCAGGTTATGGACATGCTTGGTCCAAGCTTGTGGGATGTATGGAATTCCTTAAACCAAGCGTGAGTATAAGCTACGCCTATCATTGTATCTGCTGCGATGTTTATAGGTTTTGTGTTTTAAAAGAAGGGCTATTATACATTGATTTTGTGCGTATCTAATATTTGTTAAGGTTTATATTGAAGTGAGGTGACTCTGTTTCTATTTTCATTTTCTTTCAAATGCATTAGTAACTAAATATACTAAGAGAAAGCGGTGAGATAGTAAAAGAAAGAGAAGGAAAATTACAGAGAGAGAATATGTGAGAAAACTTCATTCTTAATATTACGATTCAATATGATACATTGAGCTACATAGGGCTCTATTTATAGAGCCGGATAACAGAACAATATTAGTAACAGCAGTCTAACTCCCTAACAAACCAGTCTAACAGAATCCGTAAAATGATTATATACAGCCTGATGTATAGTAACTATAATGGAGTCAAATAATACAATTAATACAATACAACAGAAGTTATAGATAAACATATCTCTAACATGCCCCCTCAAACTCTGGAGGAATGGGGTGAAGAGGCTATAGAATGTATAATTGTATAAATATAATAGATTCATTTTTTCTTTTATTAGACAACTTAAAGTTGATGAACATACATCAGGTGATATAGGATCATTTTACTGATTTTGATAGACTGGTTAGTTAGGGAGTTAGATTTCTATTATTGATATTGTTCTGTTATCGAACTCTATAAATAGAGCCCTATGTAGCTGGTGGTATCATATTGAATCATAATATTCAGAATGATGTTTTCTCACATATTCTCTCTATAATTTTCCTTCACTTTCTCTTATGGTATAGTTAAGGATGGGGAGGATGGCCGTCTATGGGATTTACCAACACAACAAGCTGTCAAAAGTCTTCAACCATTTTAATATTAAATGAAATATTACATGATGTAAATACATTTTTGAGGGATTCATGGTGTGGATGTCCTAGACGACAGTGCCACAAGGAGTAAGTAGAATAAGAACCCATTGAGGACTGAGTACATTTTACAGAATTTGTATTTACACTATTACATTCAATAAGAACAGTCCTAGTATTTGATGACAAACTTGAGTTTGGTGACACTGAAACAGAGCATCATCATTCTTGTTTGTGTGCTCGTTCTGCTGATTCGAGGAGTGGCGGGCAATGTTTGCTATGGTGTTTTCGTCAATTAGAGACTCTGATTGCTTGATTAAATAAGTTGTTCATGAGCCAGAAGTTCAATCCCAATAACAGTAGTGACAAAAGCATTGTAATCTTCTGGCAGTCCATCAATGATCAATTTGGTTTGTTCCTCTATTGAAGCTGGACTTCCAATTGTTTTCAAGGAATCACAGAGTTTTGATTCTTGCCAAGTACTCTTTTGCACTTTTTGAGCCTTTCTGTATGGATCTGAGTTGTCTCGCCTTTAACTTCATTGTGCCATGAAACAGCTTGCGAATGTTATCCCATGCTTTAAATGAGTGTTTTAAAGTTAGAATGTCATTCACTACTTGCTAGTCCATAGCCACATTGAAAGCATTTGATTCTGAGCCATTCCACGTACTCAAGACCAAGGATGTTGTTTTCTCAATCCTCATCTGATTTGAACTAGAGAGGGATTTTCGGATTTACAAGAAAGTGATGAAATTGATGAGAAGTAATTACCGGTTAAATTATTTGATTCCAGAACAGGTAATTAACTTTTTTGAGCTTCGCTGCAATCAAGAGATTGAAGAGAGAGGGAGGAAAATTTTCTGTTGAAGTTCCTCTGTTTGATCGAGAGGAATTTGTGTTTGGGCTTCATGTGTTGGATGCAAAAGACATTGGGACGGGCAATTATGGATCAGGCCCACAGAAAGAGGGCTCTAATATCATAAGAGAAAGCAGCGAAAAAGTGAAGGAAAGAGAAGGAAAATTATAGAGAGAGAATCTGTTAGAAAACTTCATTCTTAATATTATGATTCAATATGATACAATCAGCTACATAGGGCTCTATTTACAGAGGTAGATAACAGAACAATATCGGTAACAGAAGTCTAACTCCCTAACTAACCAGTCTAACAGAATCAGTACAATGATTCTATAAAACCTAATGTACAGTAACTATGATGGAGTCAAGTAATACACATATTACAATACAACAGAAGCTATAGATGAACTTGTCTTATCTCTACTATATACTAAAAAAAAAAAGGAAAAAAGGTTTGATTTGCTGTAGTTGTAGATGGTTTGTTGTACTGAATTCTTCATGTTGTCAGTCTTTGGTTTTTTTCTTTGATATAATTTGGTCTTGGTTTGCGCTTTTTAAACATCCTGATCTCCATTTTTGATGTAAATAACATATCATGAATCGATTATCTCAAAAGCTTAAGATGTTAGATGAAGACACATAAATGTTTTTATATTACATTTATAACATGTCCCTTTGGGCTTGAAGCATTAATGAATAAGCCTACTTACCTTGTGCTGAAATTCAATTCATTTTTAGAAAAATGGAATGTGAAAGGATCAAATTCTAAACAACTTCTGTTATAGAGGTTCTGATACCATGTTATGAACCAATTCTCCCAAAGTCTTAAGCTAATGGGTGAAAGCACATGAATGAATATATATCTAGCAAATGTTGTATAAGATGTATCCTTCATCGATGTTGTATTTGTGCCTTGTACTTCTGGCTGTGTCACCTTTTATTGCTTTTCCTTTCCCTTCCTTTGGACAATGACTAACTTGTTCCTTGTTGTTTCTTTGACATTCTGTTATTGCTTGTATTTTGAATGTGTAGGATGTCTGCTGAAATGGTTTCATGTATTGCTGTTGAGTCCTTGTCGATCCTGGAGAAGATGCACTTGAGAGGGTATGTTATTGGTCAAACATTTTTATATTCAACCTTTTCCTTCCTAATTTGCTTGTTATGCTGTGAATGAGTTTTAATTTGTTATATTGATTTAGTATTGAATTTCTTGGTTTCTATGCGTGATCTTCTGGTTCCTATCTTCATTATAGATATGTGCATGGAGATGTAAAACCAGAGAACTTTTTACTAGGTCAGCCAGCTACACTGCAAGAGAAGAAATTGTTTCTTGTTGACCTTGGATTAGGTCAGTGATTTGAATTCAAGCATGAGATGTTTCTTTCTTATTCACAATCTTCTTTTTGGCCTGTCTTATATAAGCACATGTTTTGCAGCAACCAAGTGGAGGGACACCTCCAGTGGGCAGCATGTTGAATATGATCAACGCCCTGATATGTTTAGGTTACCTTTTCTCCTTCCTTTCTTTTCCTTCTTAAATTCTACTTGTTGCTATTATATTTTTTAGTGCTTCTATTATTATTATTGTTGTTGTTTTTTGTTCTTATATGGTTATCAATCTTCTTGATGTAGAGGGACTGTTCGATATGCTAGTGTTCATGCTCATTTGGGAAGAACTGCTAGTAGAAGGGATGATCTTGAATCTCTTGCATATACACTCATCTTCCTTCATAAAGGCCGGTTACCATGGCAAGGATTTCAGGTATATACATTTATTGTATATTCTCTTTAAGTACTTATTTGACAATTGGCTTTCTTTACATATTTTGCTTTGAATCTGATTTTACCTTCTCTGTTAGGGTGATAACAAATCCTTCCTTGTCTGCAAAAAGAAGATGAGAACATCTCCTGAGATGCTATGCTGCTTCTGCCCTCCACCTTTTAGGCAGTTTCTTGAGATTGTAGTGAACATGACATTTGATGAAGAACCTAGCTATTCCAAGCTAATATCTTTGTTTGATGATATGCTTGGACCGAATCCTGCATTGCGGCCTATTAATACTGAAGGTGCTCAAAAGGTAATCTTTATAATAAGATTTTAAAGGTCTCTTATTTTTGGCTTTATCTTGTGTTCAAACTTCAAACTTTTGGTTGGTCTTTGGATTCACCCTGATCCTTTGTTCCCTCGACCAAAATTTATCAGGCTGGGCAAAAGCGGGGTAGATTGAATATTGAGGAAGAAGATGATTTGCAGCCCAAAAAGAAGGTTCGTTTGGGGGTTCCTGCTACACAATGGATTTCAGTTTACAATGCAAGACTGCCAATGAAGCAGAGGTAGCACTGCAATCACTCCTTGTAGTTTTTTCCTTTAATCAAGCAATCAGATGTCTTTAAGTATTTAGTTTTTATATTAATAGTGTAAAGAATTAATATGTTGGATGAGAGAACATAGATTGAGGTGGTTTGGGCACGTGATGAGAAGACCCATGGATGCTCCTGTAAGAACAGAAATTTGTTACCAAGAGCTCAACACAAAAAGAGGCAGAGGTAGGCCGAAGCTTACTTGGGGGAAAGTAGTAAAACAAGATTTAATGGAGTGGGATATAGATTGGCGGACAGTATGTCTTAGAACGGAATGGAGAAAAGCTATAAGTATGGTGGAGGGTTAGACCCGCTGTTATTCCTATGTTCCAGACGGTCCCTTTTTAGTCCTTTTCCCCTTCATTTCCCCCACTTCTTCTTGTCCCTTTCTTTTTACTTTTATTTATTTATATATACATATATTGTTATTTTATTTTATCTTATTTTATATTTTTATTTTATTTGTTTATTTTTATTTATTTATTTATTTATTTTCTGCTTTTTTACTTTTTTAACTTTTTTTTACTTTTTTATTTTATTATTTTTTTAACTTTTTTTTCAACCGTTTTGTATCTTTCATGTGGGTTCATCTACCACCGACCCCAATTAATTTGGGATAAAGGTGTTGTTGATGTTGATTAATAGTGTAAAGAATTGCTTTTCAAATCAAAGAAGTGTTTCGTTTAGTATTGTATTGTCTAAACCTTTAATTTCAATTCACTTCAGTAATATCATGTTCAGCATATAGTTACATCTAAATGATACAGGCCCTGTTGTTTTTGTGTATTTTGGAGCCATTTTTTTACTGGAAGTAAGTTTTCTGTTATAAAGAAGTTGAGTCTTTCAAGTTGATGGAATTATACATGTCCTTGCATAGCTTGAATATTAGACTGTAGAACTGGATTTTAATGATGGGTTGAACTGCTGGAAAACTTTATGTTAGGAAACCAAAACCCCCATTACTAGAGTGTACTCTAGAAAGGGGTGTAGGGAATGAATGCCCACTGCTGGAAAAGCGGTTATGACCTCTGGAAAAGGGGAAGAGGGATAAAAAACAGAATGGAGAGGAGGGTAGAGCAGTAAGTAAGAATTAAGATGAGAAGTTTGTAAGGGTAGAGACAGGCCTCTCGAAAGCCTGATAGCATTTTCTTTCTGTTTTATACTGTAATCCATATTTGCATGTGATATCATCTTGATATCAGTAAGTTCAATATAAGACTACACTGTTTTCCCTGTTCCTACTTGTGTTTTTTCTATTTGGGTTCTATCAGTTTAATTAATAGGTGCTGGAATAGTTATAATTTCGTTACAGTATCAGCAAATATGAATTGATTTCAACAGTGTGATAGTGGAAGTATAATGGAGTAGTTTAGATGTCAAGAGCTTGCTGGCAGTGATTATGATTTTCATAGTTGTGGTAGACTAAAATGCTGCAGTACCAGTATTAGCAAAGATTATTTTGCTCAACTCTTGAAGCAAGAATAGTGGACCTAGTGCTGATTTTAGTAGTAGTTATGTGGCAAAAAATATTAATAAGACAAACTTAACCATCTGATGTACCAAGGGATTACATAGTACTGCATTCTTTGCAATTTTTTATATCTTTTACGTGTATCTATTTGACCTGGGTTGTTAAAGACCTATTATGCTTGATCTGCAAAAATAAAGTTATGGCTTTACCTTGAAGGCAAAAGTGTCTACTGCTTGAGTATTTTGTTATCAGGATGATGTTGTTTTGACTTCTGAATTGGTTGTGTATTAGGTATCATTACAATGTAGCTGATTCAAGATTAGCACAGCATGTGGATAGAGGGATTGCAGATGGCCTTCTTATTAGCTGTGTGGCTTCTTGTTCCAATCTTTGGGCACTTATTATGGATGCTGGAACTGGTTTTACAAATCAAGTTTACAAATTGTCACCTTTTTTCTTACACAAGGTAAAATTATATGATGTACAATTGTATATCAGTACATGTCATACACTTTGTTATCTGCTTTCATTTTATGAAACTTAACCCATGTAATTTTGTTTCTTTTCAGGAATGGATCATGGAGCAGTGGGAGAAGAACTATTACATTACTTCTATAGCTGGGGCTAATAATGGGAGCTCTCTTGTGGTAATGTCAAAAGGTCTGTTTGCTTACTTTTTACAATTGATGAATGTGATTTTTTTATTCCTTTTCCAGAGTGATGAAGCATCTTATCCAATGCTATGGGAAAACGTTTCCAGATTAGCAACTTTTACCCCCACATTTACTGTTCTCGTTTTTTAAGATGAACAAGTTTTGATTTTTATTTCTGAGATTTTATTTATATACTTTTTTAAGTCATTTGATCTTATTTTGGGTCTCTTTATGTGCTCAAAATAAAGTTTTGGTTTCTTTTTTAGCGTTAGTCTCCCCTCAATATGAATGCCAGTAAACTGTGATTGGGGCATATTTCTAACAGGTCCCATGCCCCCAAAATTCATCTACACTTTTGTGGGGTGGTGCACCTCTTGTTGCTAATTTCATGGTTTTCCACTACAATAAATTGGGGGGGGGGGGGGGCGGGGAGGGAAAGGTAATATTACGTCTTAGCTTTCTTTTGAACTACCTACCTCTCAGTAGGATCCAGAGAACTGGGAGCAAAGGTGTTAGATGTAGTTTGTTGTAGAATGCAAGAAGCATTTTAATGATTAAGCACATTTTAATTGGTTGGATAAACTTGGTTAATTATATGGAATTCAGTAAATCAGTTGTGTATTTTATTTGGAATGCTTTTGAAATTCTAATCTCATGTAATTGGATTTTCAGATCATCTGTCTGTCATTTTTAATTGGGTAAATTATAACTTAACCCCTACACCAAGGTTCCTTTTCAGAAAACTTCCCTGAAATTTCAATTGAAATTATCATAACAAATTACAATAATTAACATATATTATTTTTAAGACAAAAGTACCCCTGTTCCTCGATTTATCACTGGCCACCACTGCCACATTCATTGTTTGTCCAATGGTATGAATACGTGTAACATCCGGATTCCACCATGGGTCCATGACAAGAAGCATTTGAGGCTGCTGCTATGTTTATCCCCACTCCACCAGAAATTTGGCCTATGTTGGTCCCTCCATGGTACAATATTAATTTGGAAACTTTCCACCGCGGTGGAAAGAGTGCACCACAGCAAACTGATGGGGAAACACCATCAAATGAAAGAAACCATCAACTCCTATTCTCTGTCAACATATTTTGACAGAGCTTGGAGTGATTTGATCGGAGGAAAATCCTTTGCATGTGTTAATAGTTGGACCAGGAACGTCTTCTTGATGACATATACGGCTGGTGGCAGCGGTGGCTGATGGTGACCGGTGGTGATTGGTGGCGGTGGCAGTAGGTTGAGTATTTGTGGTGTTTTTGTCTTAAAATTACGATATTTGTTTAATTGTAATAATATAATGTAAGTAGGTTAATTATTTCATTTGAAAATACATGGTGGTAAGTTGTAGTGTACCCTTTATATTTCCCTCCTGTCCTGACTTCTTTTTACAAGTTTGGCTAAGAGGCACTACTCAATTTTAGTGCCTCTATAATTTTCCATATTTTTTTGCTGCTATCTTATGAAGTAGTTTGTCCACATGCCTGGGGTTTGTCTGAATAAGAGATGGAACGAGAGAAAACACTTTATTCTGTCATTCTCGGTCTGGGTTATCTCAGTACTTTCTGAGGAGCCTGGGAGGATGGCTGGGAGATGCATAGGAAGAAAAGATGACTGGAAGGATATGCAGCCAATTGAAGAGGATAAAGGGATGCTGTTGGTGTGAACTGAGAAGGAACAACGGGTAGATTATTGGATCCTTTGCTTTTGCTAGCCATTGGTACTATATGGATAAGGCGATAGAGGGATAATGGGAGAAAACCCTTGTATCTAAACATAAGCGAAATAGACTGATATATGTCTACTATATTTATATTCTGCGGACAGCTAATTACAGATTTACAATTAAAAAGTACACATGAAACTAATTCAACTAATGGTACATCTAGTATTTATAATTTTCTCTGTCGTTATTTATATTATGGGTGGGAGAGGGAGACCTCGGCCTTTGGATTATAAGGGCATAGCACCCACCGCCTTTAGTATTTATTGTGTCTTCATTGTAATTTTAGGTGAGCTTTATTTAGATTACTTGGGGGAAAGTAGTAAAACAAGATTTAATGGAGTGGGATATAGATTGGCGGACAGTATGTCTTAGAAAGGAATGGAGAAAAGCTATAAGTATGGTGGAGGGTTAGACTCGCTGTTATTCCTATGTTCCAGATGGTCCTTTTTTAGTCCTTTTCCCCTTCATTTCCCCCACTTCTTCTTGTCCCTTTCTTTTTTACTTTTATTTATTTATATATACATATATTTTTATTTCATTTTATTTTATTTTATTATTTTATTTGTGTATTTTTATTTATTTATTTATTTATTTATTTTTTATTTTTTATTTTTTTTACTTTTTTTCAACCGTTTTGTATCTTTCATGTGGGTTTATCTACCACCGACCCCAATTAATTTGGGATAAAGGTGTTGTTGATGTTGATGTTGATTGTAATTTTAGGTGAGCTTTATTTAGTGCATTTATTTGGACAGAGTACTGAATTTCTGCAGACATTTACATACAAGGATTCTGCAGCTATCTCTGATTTTTGGTTACTTGTGGTCTGATTTCTGCAGGCACGCAGTACACACAACAATCATACAAAGTAAGTGATTCTTTCCCCTTCAAATGGATAAACAAGAAGTGGAGAGAAGGTTTTCATGTGACCTCAATGACCACTGCTGGAAGTCGCTGGGGTGTTGTTATGTCTCGAAATGCTGGATTCAGTGATCAGGTTTGCTGTTTATTTTGTATTATTAGGATATGTTGGTATAAAAGCTTCTATGCTTTCTTTGAGTATTTGTTGTCCTTTCTGTTTAGAATGTTTTGTATTCTATTGAGTATTACTATGTACTACATGGCCTGGCTTTGGAGTAGTGCCACGCAGCCAAAACAAGTCTTGACAGAATTTAGCCAAAATTTACTCGTATTCAAAGGTGGTTATTGGATAAATCAAAGTCATAGGGTTCACTCATATAACTCGTTCTGGCTCTTGTCAAAAAAAAAAAATTCTGGCTAGCTAGCATTTTCCTTTTCTTCACCATTTCAAGGTTTGGCTTTATTAACAAACTGCAACCATAGGAATCATCATTGGCTTGTTACGTTGGGTCTGTTTGGATGGACTTTTGAAAAAATCTTTTTACGCATTGCTTTATTTATCAAGGATTTGTTTTAAAAGGTAAACTATTTTGCATGTGGAATGTCGATGGAGTATCTGAAAAGTACTTTTAACTAAAATTGTTTGGGGAGTTAAAATTAAAAAGCCCTTTATATGTATAAAATTACTAAAAAGGATATGTGAAAGCAAATCATAGAAGCAAGATTTGGGATTGGGGCAGTAATAATAGTAATAATAATAATCATGGAAACAAGATTTGGTGGGGGTTGTGGTGGCGAAGGTGGGGTTGGGATTGGGGTAATTTTAGATTTTGAGAAAAATATTTGGCTTTTAACTTCAGTTTTATTAGAAGCCCAAAATTTTAACTGAAAAAAAGAAATATTTTGACCTTTTTTTGGCTTATACTTTTTTTAAAAGTTGACATTCAAATGCTTCCATAGAGTGAGAAATATTTTAAACCTTTACTATTGCATATCTAAAAAACCAGCTTCTTAAGATAAAAGCCTATCCAACCTGGTTCGTTATGTTAGATTGCTTTATACTGATGTTCTAAGAAATTCAATGGGTTTATTGTCTTCAGGTTAAATTAGACTTGAAAGATGTATCTCATAACTCATGTTGAGTTTAAAATGTGTTCATGCTATTTATGACAACTTTTGACTTAAATTTTTCTTCTGAAATTAAATTATTTATTCTACTTGTAGTTTTTATATAGAGCAGTTTTTTCATTGATTTGGTTTTGCACAAAAACTCTTGCTCTTTGTTGAAACTTTATAATTCACCTTCTAAATGTAGGTCGTAGAACTTGATTTTCTCTATCCTAGCGAAGGCATCCACAGACGTTGGGATAATGGTTACAGGATTACAGCAACTGCTGCTACATGGGATCAATCTGCTCTTATATTAAGCATTCCGAGGCGCAAGCTTGGTGATGAAACTCAGGAAACTCTGCGTACATCTCAATTTCCAAGCACACATGTTAAGGTAAGGGTTGAAAAATAAATGGATGATTGATTTTGTTAAGTAAAATACCCAAAGCTGATTTTCTCATTTTGCTTACGTTTGTGTTCAGGAAAAATGGTCAAAAAACCTTTATCTTGCTTGTTTGTGCTATGGGCGCACAGTATGCTGATTCCCTTTACGGCTTAAAGCATTTTGTTGACTACGAAATTATATATTTTATACTGCCCAAATCATGTATAACTTTTTTGTTTGAAGCTAGTTGTGCAAGCGGAGAAGAACTGTATCATTGCCTGTTATATAGTATTGTTCTTCCCTCCCGTTCTATTTCAAGTTCTGTGGGCGGGAATGTGACAGTTATTGTATTGTATACAGCTTAGTTTTGTATGTTCCTTCAATGTGTAAATGTAGGTTCTATCTAATTTTTTGTCTGATTTTCAAGATTGTTTCCATGACAAACGTCTAATAAGGAAAACAAAAAAGTTGCTTTGTATTGATAAATTTCTTTGTGAATAAAAGATTCAATCACAATTTTAATATTCCTTGCGCATGCCATACTGTTTTAGGGGGATATGCTTTTTCTTTGTATGCTGTTAGCCATGGAGTGCATTTAAAAATTTAATTGGGTGTAATGTATGATTCTTCTCCCAGCTTTGGGTTCTGGGATCCATATTTCACAAGTTAAAGCAATTAATTACATGTCGAAGTGAGAGGAAAAAAATACAGACCTCACGAAAGAGAATATTTGACTCTGATTTTGTTGTCATCTAGTTGGATTAAAGGAAATAAGATTAAAAGAAAATTTTTGTAGTTACTATTAAATTCCTGTAGAGCAGCCCCTGTATATATATATTCGTTGATTGGTGTATGTGAACAAGAATTGGAAGAATTGGGTAACATAATTATTACGTAAGAGGTTGTAAGGAAAAGAAATTATAAATATAACTTAAGTTATCCATGACATTTCAATTGAAGAAGTTTGATTTTTTTTCTTTCCAGTTTTAGGCATCCAGTTTTAATTAGTTATATGAATTTATATTTTAGAAAACTATTATCATATTAATATTTTATTTTTAAATGAAACTTTAATTTTTTATTCAGATTTGGGTGAAGTGTTTATACAAAGTTATCTCGACCTTAAATAAAAATTGTCATTATAAAAATTAATATAGCCCCAAAACTAATTAAAATTATAAAAGAATTTTTTTTCTAATCACAGTTTTTTCTAGTTAGGAGAATTACTTTTGCATATCTTAAATATTGTTTGGGGATAATTTATATTAAACACTAGATATTTAATAAGATTCGTTAAAAGATAGTAAAATTTCATCCACTCCACGTACTTGGCTACTACATTCTCACACCAACATCCTCCACTGAAAAAGTGGAACAATTACAAAAAGGTAAAGCCTTCTATGGTCAAACTAAAACGAGTTTCAGACTTAGCTTATTAACTGAATTCGGCCTTATGCCCAGTAATTACATGGCTCAATATTGTGTGATTGAGATCTACCAATTCAATCTCAAATTTAATTTCTAATTGAGTCAAGCTTAACTGGACTAATCCCTCATTTCTAGCCAATAGAAATATTTTAGAGTATGCTCCCGTTTTCAAAAATAAAAAATAAAATTTTGTCATTGTTGAGGAGATTATCATATACATCAATTGTGAGTGTTTCTAGGTATCAGTCAGTTGAGATCAAAACTGATGGTGAGAAACAAGGTTCATTTCACACTGTCTTACATGATGCTCTGCATTTGCCTCTAGCATAACTATGTGTCCTCTTCAAATTTAATTAAATAAACAGTTTCTGGAAGGAACTACAAATACAGGGATGCTGCAAAGACAATATCCCTCTTGATCTTGGATACGGCCTCTTCAAACTTCGCCTCAAGTTGAGTTTCCCCGATTGACTTAGCTGCTTCTATTAACTGCTGAAGAACTTCCTCAAGTCGTCTAATTGCCCTAATCAAGCTACCTTCAAAAACCTGGGTAATTTCCATGATTTCATAGAACTTTGAACCTTTAGCCCAAGCATACACAGCCTCCATAATATCAGGCCTAAATGACTTCACAAAACTCTCAATGTCAATTTGCACCTGTTTTTTTGTTTTTTTGGTGGAGGTGGGTGGGGGGGATAAGATAAAAGAAAAAATGACTTGTTAAAGCATGTACAACTACGAAAGTGAAGAAAATTTGAAAAAGTACAAGATAGCAAACAGACACGCTGAAAAGGTTGTAAGGCAAATTCATATGTCCAGTTTAGATGCCAGCCATGTGATGAATTGGCATCCAGTCTTTACCTTGCACTCAAGCTGAAGTTGGGCAACTCTTCGAGCAGTGTCTTGTAATTGTGCAAATAGGAGATCAAGTTCTTCCCGGGGTTTAGCAGCATCATGAATTTTTTCTTGCCAGACAAAACAGGACAGGAGAGAAACCATCTCCTCTACCTTTATGTCCTTTAAGACACCATTGAACATGAGTTCTGTTAGGGTCAATTCATCTGCACTACTAATTTCACAAGCAACCTTCCCTTTTAATTCCACCACATTGTCACTAGTAGCATATCTGCAATGAAGATCTCACTTGAATATCATTTTCATCAACAAAATTCAATCACATGGGGTTGCTGAAATTATTTGATAGAAAGAAAAAACCATAAAAAATTTGCTGCATAAACAAATTGGACATTAACATTTAGCCATAGGAGATTAAGATCAGATGGACAGTTCTAAGCACTGCATAAGAGTATCAGGCCACCAAATACATATGGAAACTTTTGATATAAAGATGATTTGATCTCTTCAAGTTAATGCAGTTAAGTTAAAAGAAAACAATTACAAGCACACAAAATAACCAAATTAGAAAATACATTACATCAATTAAAGCAGTAGGCATTCTTCTACGTTTCTTTAGGGGGAAAATGAGAAACATTACTACAGAAAAGAAAGAGTGCAGAGGATAACTGATCCTCATTAACAAAGGCAGATAGATGACTCCCAAATGACAAAAAAAGAAAATGCAATATGTTGCATTTGAGTGCAAAAACAAGATAAAATTTCAAGAAATCACTTAATTCCTTTCAGGACTAGGCGCTTGTAGTATAAAGCAGTTTGGGGCAGAACTTAAACAGCTACCCAAAGTCAAAGCTTCAAGGCCTTGCAGCAAAACAAAAAAGGAAAGGAGGGGGAAAAGAACAGGAGTACATAAGAAGTTTCATTACCCCAGCCTCCGAAGAACTCTCTTTCTTGCCTTAAGTTCATCCTTGAAGGCCAAAGCAGTAGAAGATCTTAATGTTTTCTTAATGGACTTTATCTTTGTGGTCAGTTCTTGCTTCCTCTGTAAAACTTTTAACTTCTGCTTAATAAGTGGTGACTTCGCAATTTCATGCTTTTCAAATAGGCTCTCCAGAGCCTCTATCCTACGAGATGTTTTTTTGTACAAGCTGCTCTGGATCTGAGAAATAAAAGAATCAAAATCATGATAATTTAAAAAGGAAGAAAATGAATAGGATGAGCACCATACCTTCATGTCTTCTTCAGGATCTAGAAGTGGCAATTCTTTCTCACCAAATCTAGAAAGAGTTTCCAACACTTTTTTCAGTGCGTTTTCTCGAGCTTCCAAAGACAAAAGATCCTTCGGTATATATAGACGCAGACTGCTTATTGTATTAATCTGTTAACAATCAGACAGCAAATAATTTACTAATCATTTTTAAACTTAAAAAGCCACAAATATACAATTCCGTCAAAATATTTTAACAATGGATTGGATACAGGCGCTTTAATATCTAATTCAACCATTGAACTTAAATCCTAGATAAGTTATTCAAAGCAACAGCTCTATAAACAAATATAAGAACCCAATGTTGAAAGATTAGTTTGTTACACTATACTTTCAGATTGTTAATAAAAATCAATGAAATTGAAAAGCCAAAAAATGCTCACTAGAATATTAGGTTAGGAAGGACAGCAGTGGAATACAATGAAGTGTGTAGTACATGTTAGCATCATTAGCTTCTCCATCGCAATAGTCTTTTTCTTTTACTTTTGCAATTTTCATGGAATAATCTAATCTAACACTTTGAGGAGCATCCTAAAAGAAATATTTAAGAACTGTTAAGGAATAAAATGTAGAGTTAAACTATTAATTAATTATGAAACTCCTATGGGTTCAGAAATTGCCCAGTTTTGGTATTACAGGCATGATAACATAAATTTTTGAATGAAAATATTTTGAGAAATTGGCCATAGAAGTGTTAATTATCATTTCGGCTGTGACCATGGTTGTTAAAACGTCGTTCCAACTCCACGTTTTTACGTTTTATTGTCTAAAAACGTGTCAAAATGATGGTTGAAACGGAATTTGGGCTGAAATGGTTGAAACGTCGAGTTAACTCGGTAAACTCGGCACTCGGTTGACTCGGTGAGTTTACCGAGTTAACTCAGTGTTGAAAAAATAAAAAAAACTCTGTTCGTTGGTGCGTTGTGCAGGCAATTGTTCGCATGCAGGCATCTGTTAGTTGGTTCTTCCCTCTTATCTTGATCTCCCATTTGAAGCTGACCATCATCCATGAAAGCAGCAATTCCAGCATTTTGAAGAGAGGTATAGAGACGTGAAGTGAATGAAATCGCACCTGAAGGGAATGATGAAGGATCTCTTTCCCTTCCGGAACTCAAGGATACATCATATATCATGGGATCAATGGCTCTGCGGTGGAGGACGTGGAGGAAGACATGAATGAGATTAAAGGAAACAGTTGATGAGAAAACTGCAGTGGAGGTGCACAAGAATTCTTTTTTGGATAAGAAGCTTAAAGCCAAATGAAGACGACAGCACTTTTTATATAAAATGGCACGGCTAAATTCCCATCATACACCTGTCCAGCCACCTGGCATGCACTATCTATCCATAAAGTCATCTTTCAACACATTATTGCCAATATTTTATGCACTGCATCTTGTGGTAAAATTATAATACACCGGAGGATATATTTAAAATTTAGATGAAATTTATTATATATAAAATAAAAACTGTTTCAAAAACAAAAATTTAATCGACTTATATATAAAGTCAAGGTGTGCTGAACAACCTACAAGATAATATGATGATGTAAAAAAATATGAAATATATAGAGACTAATCAACGCAAAAAAAGAATAATCTATATCCTAAAATTAATCTAAATTTATTATGACTTATGTATTGGTATGTTTTGATTTTATATATGTTGGATTTTTTTTTTTTGGTACATAGTAAATAGATTTTATGTTTTTGTTCACCCCTACCGTTTTTAGGTAGACTCTACGTTTTAACAACATTGGCTGTGACACATGGAGTCATAAGGGTAGCTAATAGATAGGCATGAGTTGCACGTTTTTATTGAAGCTGAGGAGGCATATATATGTTTTTGGTAATATTGCATGTCATAAGTGGGTATCCTACTTCTTATAGACAGGTAAGATCTAGTCTTCGTTCACATTGTTCTTTGCAGTGGGTTGCTTTAGGTAACCTCTTTATAAGTTGGAAGCAACTTCTGAAGTGCAACTAGTAAGGATGGGCTGTATTCTGGTTTTGTGTTCTTTTATCGGTTTATATTGCTAGAGATGTGCTAATTTGGGCTTTGCAGTGATCCGATTCTGTTTTCCATGGAGGTTTCCATTTGAAGTAATTGATGAAATTTTATGATCTCTCTGCCTCACATTTCTTCCACTTTCCATTTGTCTCCTATAGCGTTCTTGTTTTCAAACCATAACTAAACCACATGACAGATTTGGAAACATCATACTTTGTTGAAATGTAATGTGAAAAATCACAATTTAGAGTCACAATCTGCAGATATAATACATCATTTAACAGTTTCAAAGACTTTACCTGAGAGATAGGAACTGAAACCACTAGAGGTTCTCCAGGTTCTTTCAGAGGAACAATCTTAACAGATTTTTTTCCAATTTTATCTTTCCTCACCACACATCTTGTAAGAATATCAACGTTGTAAGATGCATCTTCTGGTTTTATGCTTGCATCATCTGAAATTTTTTTTTGACTATAAACAAACTAAAATTTTAATAAATAAGAGTATATAGAAATCGCCAGAGGCCATTGAGAATTCTCACCTTCAGAAACACTCTTAACCCTTTCAAAATTAATGACCAACCCCCAAGTCAACTGGTCCTCAATAAAAATGGGGGGCAGATCTTCATTACTTGAAGTGCATTGGAGAGAAACAAGCCTCCCAGGCTGTAAAAATGGTAAACAGTGCCTTGGAGATAACACAATGTCATGAACCTCCTTATTCAAACTTCTATGCTGCTCCAGCAGATTGTAATAATCCTTCAAACTGTTTTCTTCTTCAATAACAATCGATTCCCTTTCTTCTTCAAGAGCCTTTATTTGTTTCTGGATAAACAAAATTATTAAAATTATTCTTTGTCATATAATTTTCAAATTGACAATACAAGGAAATAAACTTCTTAGATACCAGGTCAATGACTAATTCAATGTAGTCAAGGACCAATTCAACCTAAAAGCTTAACGAAAACAATTTTAGACCAACTCGACCTAAAAGCTTAACTCTTAACAGCTTTAAAGAATAAAAAGAAAGGAATAACATCATAGAAATCCCTAATCTTTAAGATGAGATGCTCGTGCTTATGGTGTGCTCTTGTAGAACCACGTTGCACATCACATCATGGGGTAAGAACATCGAAGCATGGTACCCATTTTATTACTAAGGGAGGAAATCAGTTGGAGACAAATATAGAATATCAAATGTGCAAAATATGGAGAAGCTTTCTACATTCCAGCATGACTATAGGAAGAAGGAAAAACTTTGCTAAAGGTAAGAGCTTGAGGATGGGAGTCATTAATATTATTGGAGTACTTGCAACTGAAATTACTCATTTGTACACTGCTCTTAAATAGAAGAAAATCATACTAGGCCCATTTTATTGAAGGTTTGGATTGGTGTTCTATCTCTCATAATATGGTTGGTTGGAAATGAAAAGGCGTTTTGAGTAAGAGGAAATCTAAAGGGCTATTTGGTGCATGGAAAAGGAAAAAGCTCCAAATCCCAATGGCTTTCCTGTTGCTTTTTCAAAGAGATGTTGCAATATGATCAAGCAGGGTCTCCTTAAGGATTTCTTTGAATTTCATTGCAATGGCAAGGTAGAGGTTAGCATGAATTCAACTAATATCACTCCAGTGCCTAGAACAGGTCTTTCAAGGTGAACATTGCAGACCTTCAAGCCTAGTCACTAGTATTTATAACTTCAATACTAAGATCCTTTCCATGAGAACAAGTGAAGTCTTACCAGAAACCTTTTCAAAACATTAGAGTGATTTCTTTGCAGTTAAAATTTTTTTAAATGTTAATCTCATTGCAAATGAGGTGGCAGAAGATATCAGAAGGAGGATAAGGGGTCTGGTTATCAAATTGGATTTTGAGAAAGCTTACGATCAAGTGAGTTGAGATTTGACTCTACATGGGAAAATTTTTCATCAATTTAAAATATGAATCATATTAACAAATTTTGACTTTGACAGACACGAAAGATATTTAAACCCACAATCATAAAGAAGAATTTCACATGAATAAGTAGCCCTAATCTCATGATTCTATACGTTACACACACAAAAAAATCATATTTCCAGCCTTCATAAATTTAAACAAACCTCCAGATCAGGAATGGCCCGGTCAGCTTGGAACTGATAAAAAGAATTGCGGAGCAAATTTTCAGGATCACCGTCTTCACAGCGCATTTGGTTCAAAATCATGTTGTAGCTTAAATGAAAGGCACTGAAATGCAAGGAAAGGCAAATGTAAAAAAGAGACAACAATGCCTTTATACAAACTACAATATGAAAAATAGAAAACATATTTCTTTAGGTAGACGAAGATCATCGTATTATCAAAAGCTAACCAAGCATAAGACAACCATCCCCTGATTTTGTTTATGTTTCACGCATTAGATCTTGAACAGTCTCCATTATGGCATCCTCTATTATGTCACAAGACACATCGCCATTGCAGTCACACATGTATGATTTTCCAATTCCTGATAAAATCTACACTAAACTCGAGTTACTAAACAGCAAGGGCACTCTAAGAACAGGCTTTCAAAGAAAGTAAATTCTTGCATCCCCAAAATATAGTGTTAGACACAAAGGAATATTTCCGTCGGTATGATCTTCCAATTCCTGATAGAACCTACACTAAACTAGAGATTGATTTACTAAACAAAGGCACTCTCACAACAGGCTGTCAGAGAAAAGTAAATACTGGTATCCCCAATATATAGAGCATTAGATACATAGGGCTTTTCTGTTAGTCTAATTGTTTTAGTTCTGTATCTTTAGCTTTGTAAAAGGTCTCTCTTTACTTGATAAAAATCAGAGCACGGTGTCTGAAAAAGACAAACTCCATTCTTCATGTTTGAGTTTATCTCTTTTGGTTAATAAAGAGAATCACCAAGCTGAAGAACTAGCAGCCTTTTGAAATGAGTAGGAAAGGTGATGACTGACAAGATACAAGACATCAGCTAGGTCAATAATGAAATGGTTTTAGAATTTCCATGCATTAATTTGAAAATGCCTAAAGCATGCTTTATTTATTTATTTATTTTAACAAAGAAGAAATTCATTCAGACAAAGAGAAGATGATTACAAAGAATTAGAAGAATATGAGATCCTCCTTAAAAAAAAAATGAAACAAACAATAAGAACAGAGCAGATATTCAAAGACGTAAAGCTACCCAATCCTTCAACATATTTGTAAGAGAAACCCCTGTAAAAAATCATGAGCTTGACAACAAGTGGAAGCTAAATGCCTAATCTTATCTCAAAGAAGCTACTTGTCTAAAGAAATCTCCTTAAAGATGCAAGAATTATGCTCCTACCAAATGCACCAAATACATATTACGAACTCAGATTCAATCTGTCAGTAAAAAATTTCTACTAATCCAATAGAAACATTAGCACATGAGGTCATAAACACTGTCCCTTTAAATCAAAGTGCTACAGGATAAAATGCTCCAGACCTCTGGACAAGTCCAGCATTCACCAGGAAAACCAGAGAGTCCATGTCTAAAGCTACTGGATAGTCAAGAACACCAAGAAGAATTCCAGTTCGAAAGCTTCCAAATTATTAAGGCTTTGACAAAAATACAAATTTCAAGAAAAATGGACCAATCAATCATTATCTAGCAGCATCTTGCATGATATAACACTTTGAATTGAACCAATAACTCACCTGTTTAAACTATCAGCTGCCCCTCTAACCATCATTTTAGCAGTAGAAGGCTCCATCTTCTCATCAACCATGAGGATACATATTCCACGCTCATCAATACCTCGTCGACCAGCACGACCACTCATTTGTATATATTCACCACTGGATATCCACCTAAACTTGTCCCCATCAAATTTTCGGACATTTGTAAAAACAACAGTTTTTGCAGGCATGTTCAAACCAATGCTGAAGGTCTCTGTGGCAAACAAACACTGGAGGAAAATATTTCAATACTTGGAAGAATTAGCTTTACCAAACAAGGAGTGTTTACAGTATCAATATTAAAAAAGAAGAAAATATGAAAATATACTTGTTCCTAATATACAATAGTAATATCAGTAGGTCAAATACTGAGAACTAAACGATTGAGTAAGAAATAGAACAAGGAAAACCCTGACTAGTATATACGAAATTTTAAAACAATAATACTTTGTAGTGGCCTCTTAACTTACGCTGGACTAATGTCGGTGTAATCCCTAAACTACATTTCAAAATCAAATGATTCAAAAAGTTTGAGCACTTAGGCAACTAAAACAGTGCTATCCATACTCTACTAAGATTGTTTTTTAGTAGCCTCTTCAGTCTTCACTACCTTTTGCCTCTTCAGATTCTAGTGTGAGTGACTCAGTGGATGGAGAAAATTATGAAATTTGGTCTGGTGGGGTGATCAGAGAGGTCACTTGATTAGTTAGGAGGCTTGTTGCTAGCATAATAAGAATCAAGGGGGAATTGGGTCATTGGAATTTGGTGTCCAGAAACATTTCTTTGGTAACTAAAAAAGGCTATGAGATTTTCCTTTAGAGACTACTTCATTGTGGCACCAGGTAATTCAAAGTGAGCACGGTTTAGATCTTAATAGGTTAGATGCAAACCAGCAATCATAGCAACTCATCCTAATCCCTGGTTAATTTCTCAGGGATATGCTTCTTTTAGACCACAAGCTTTTTTGGGGTTGGTTCAAGTAGTCAATTGCGTGTGACAAAGATGCTATAGCACACAGTCGCGTTGCGGCAGGTGGCCAACGGGCTGCTGCTGAAGTTGATTCACATTGCTGATAGTTGGTCGAGGAATGTTCCTATTTAAAGGCTTTTCCTTGACTATAACATTTCTCGTATATATACGATCACCCATATGATATTTAAGTTTTATTCAAGCTCATAATGTTTCTGGGAATTTTCACCTTCATTGGAGCATGCATAACAGATAATAAAGTAAAGATTTCTCATGACAAGTTTTGTTGGTTAACACTGGGTGTGTCCTTTCACTATGGAGAAAATTTTGACCAGAGAGGAAGCTATGATTTCATGATAGTGTGTCTATTTAATTTCTGGTCTATTTGGCTGAAAAATTCCTGTATTTTCAAGGATACAATTTGGTTCATGGCCTCTCTTTGGTGCTCTGCTCATTGTTGTATCATGGGAATTTCTATTCATAAGCAATGAGATTGGCCAAATTTGTCTCATTGAAGCCAATTTGGCTCAATGATTTAATTGTTTCTCACTCTCTCTATATAGGAGGATATCTTAGTCTCCCCAAGATGTAATTGCTCTCCTTTCTTATTAATAATATTTTATTCTGTAAAAAAGAAATCAAAGCAAGGATGACATATAATAGCATACAATAGCCTGCTAACAGAATGCTACAATTGCTACTAACTAGCCTACTATTACTGTATTAAATAACTTTACCTGCATGTTGTTTTGCTGATAATGCAATTTACACATTACGTACAAAGATGCAAATATAAAATTATGTCATAGGTTCACAGCTTATACAGCGGAAGAAAGTATCTTATCTCATGATTTCTTCCACTAACCTTGATTAGTCCTTCTTGAAATAAGATCTCGATAACTTCCTTTAGAATTGGGAGTAAACCAGAGTGATGTACTCCTATTCCACGCTTCAGCAAGGGCAGCATGTTTGAAACCTGAAAAAACCAATATAAAACCAACAAGAAAATAGATACCATGAAAGTGACAAACATAATAACGTGCAACCAGAGTACAATTACTGTATTTGTAGACAGTAAGTTAGAAAGCAATAGCATCAAGAAAGGACAAGTTTATCCAGCAGAGACTAGGTAAAGCTCCGTAATAATCCTAAGCCTAGTACCACTAAGACATTCTTGTTTTCTTCAATGGCGGGGTGTGATATAACTGACAAATGGAAATTGAGTTTGGTTTCAACAATTGCCTCCCTGAATACCAAGGCAGTGCATTTACTGTAATTCAATAAGAACCTCTACTTAGTTTTTTGAAGTTTTGAGAAGCATTAAAACTTGGAAATCTGCATGAGGCATGATAGTGTGCCAGAGGGGGGAAAGCACCAAAGTTGAGGAAGTAACTTGCCTGAGGCAACTTCTTATCATCATCTGAAAGCATATCCATAGCACTCCAAAATATCTTTTCTATGTTGTCCTTCTCATCATCCCCATTAAGATCCATTTTTGCCATCTACGGAAACCAAAAAAGACACCAGAGGGGTAGTATTGTATATGAAAGAATGGAAAGAAAATGAATAGATACTTCTAACAATGAACAGAAATTCAGACTTTACCTGCATTGCAAGAAATTCACACTCCCTTTTGCTAAAGCTGAACAGTATCACAGGATCATATTGACGCTGAATGATCATTTTCACCATCTTGAATATGTCACTTTCTTCACCAATTCTGCCCAGCACCAAACCTTTTTGCCACTTAACGTTTTCTTTTTTCTTGTCACCCTCGCCGGGAACAAGTGCATTTAAAGCTTTCTGAAAGCTGTCTTCACGAAATTTCCCCTTTTCATCCACAACCAAATATAGACCATCACCTCCAGAAGGAAAAATATAATGCTGAAGGGGAGTTGGTCGGTAATCAGTATAAATGATATGACAAGGCTGCTGGTGCACCTGCAAGTAACTTAAAGTATCAGAACTCCAGCTATACATTCTCACATACATTAACATACAAACCGAAATATAATTAAAGCTTTTAAGTAATCCGCTAGTCAATATGGGATCAGAAAAATTCTCTGGACTTTGGGCTGGTAAGGAAATCATAGGTCTTGCCTGAAATTCAGGCTTTAGGAGTTTTATTTTTCAAATAGAGCGACACATCATCTGACTCCATTGTATTGATGGCAAGGCAAAAAATGCCAGAGGGACATGGATATATACTTGTCCAATTATAAGTTCAGTAACAAGCCTAAAATTGACATATTACAAATTATAAATTCTAAGGCACCCACCCCAAAAAGAAAAACTAAAAAAGAGGTTTCATATAATGAAGAGTAAATGACCTTTGCAACCCAATCAGCAAATTCCTTCGCATTAGGGACGGTGGCGGATAGGAAGACAAAACGAGAATTCTTGGGCGACATAACAATGCTCTCTTCCCAAACCACACCTCTTTCGCGATCACGCATGTAATGCACCTCGTCAAAAATGATCCAAGCCACCTCCCTCGTGACCTCGGACCCTTTGTATTGCATACTACGCCAGATTTCCGTAGTCATCACCTGAATTTGATATATTTTATTATTTTTAATACGCAAAAAGTGAGCTTATATTAGGAAGCAAAAGACATATGATAGCATAGCATAGCATACCAAGCAAGAAGCATTGGGATCAATGGTGACATCTCCAGTCATCAAACCAACATCAGAGAATTCTTCCTTAAATTCCCTATACTTCTGATTGCTGAGTGCCTTGATAGGGGAAGTGTAGATAACACGTTGTCCATTTCTAAGGGACATAGCAATTGCATATAACGCCACTACAGTTTTCCCAGCAGATGTGTGTGCAGACACCTAAGTGAAGTAAGTAACAACAACAAACAGTGACAAAAATAATCATCGAAATTCGATTTCATTTTCATTTTCATTAATGGTTAAAGCAATAATGATGAAAAAAAATACTGACCATGGCGGATTCACCCTTTTCAAGACAAGTAATAGCCTGAGACTGAAAGGGGTCGAGGGCAAATGGGAACTTCTTAGCAGGTTCTTCGTGAGGTGAAGAAGAAAGAGAAGAAGAAGAAGAGTGAACATAACCATCTGGATACGACACGTCGTGCACGCAGTCATGTAGCACTTGCCTATGTGAGTTTGAAGTTGATGGCTCTTCCGGCGATTTCCTCTTCGGTGACCCCATTATTATAAATAATTATATATGCCTTCTTCTTCAATTCTTCTTCTTCTTCTTCAATTCTCTCAATAAAACACGTAACAGTAAGCAGCACTGCAAGCTAGAATTGAAAATCCTAACATGAGCGAAGGAAGTAGCAATGTTTATATAATTATACCTCCAAAACCCTAACAGCCACCGGAACGTTAAACCTAACCGGAACCCTTTTATCACTCCTCGCTTTATATTTTATTAACTTTCTTAATTGGCGATTAATATTTTATGGTGTATTTCACGATATAATGTTATATTTTTCTATTCTGATTTTCTAATATTTATCATGCAAATATAAAAGTAAATAAGTGATGAATTTTGTAATATTTTTCTATTCTGATTTCCTAATATTTATCATGTAATTATAAAAGCAAATAAGTGATAAATTTTCTAATATTTAGATTATATTACAAGTTAATTATCTCAGAAATTTAGTAAATCCTTACATATATTGTCATATCAAAAATTATCTCCGAGCAATTTTATTTTGGTTTTCTTAATTTGGAATTGATTTAGATTCATCTATTTTTATTTTATTTTTTTCTATTTTAGTCATTGTTGAATCTGCTGTCTAAAACTTTTTTTTATTTATCCTTGGACCCGGTGTTTCTTTTTTTTCTCTCTATTTCTCTTTTGAATGGGTTTGTGCTTTAACGGATTATTTGAGAAATTTTATTAAGGTTTTTTTAGTTTCCAATTAATTCAAATTGATCTATTCATTTTATTTTTTATTTATAGTCATTGTTAAATCTACTATGAACCTTGTTTTACTATAGCTTTGTACCTTGTATTTCTTCTCTTTTAATTGACTTATGCTTTAATGGGCTAATGCAATTTGGTATTAAATGTGTACCCGAGGCTTCTCTTTAAAGGAATCGCTAGATGCACTGAAGTTTATAAGAATGTTATTATTAATCTCATGTAAGAGGAGAGAAGTTTTTTCATGTTATAGAGATAATTATGTGTAAAACCTATTTATTGTAGAAAAAGCTAAAAAAATACAGAAATCGATGAGAAAAACACTCTCCTATATAACATAAGAGATAAGAAATGAACCAATGTTATAAAAATCGAAATGGCTGGGTCGACCCGAAATTCGGTGAATCGATAATTTGACAGGTTTGGTTATCATATTGAATCGGTCAAGTACCAGACTCGGTGTGACCCGGCCGATTTTGGTAAAAACCGGTGACGCAATCGGTTAACTAGTGACTCGGCTCAGTTTATTTAAAAAAATATTTCAATTTTTTTTTTTCTAAAAAACTTTATAATGGACATATTTGAGTGATCTGTTGTTTATTGATTTACCTAGGTTATGTACTTACAATACTAATATCATCTCAGTTATGCACTATGCAGAAAATTTTGATTTGATTTATAGTTAAAGATGTCATTTACTGAACCTGAAATACCAATATCACAAGCATTATATGTTTGTACGATCTTTTATTAAACAATAATGTATAATTTGTTATTTTTTATATTAAAATATTTAGAATTTATATTAAATTTTTTACTATTTGAATATGTTTATAATTTTTTAATATAAATTTTAGATTTACGTATAATCACCTGATGATGCGATTCAACTAAAGACTCGGTACCTCAACTGAGTGAATGATCGGGCCAATTTTAAGAACACATTGATAAGGAGTAACGAATTCATATATTTTATCTACAAAAACACATTGAGTCAATATTCCCTAGTAAAGTTGAGTCTATGTAACTTATAATTTCAAGATTCCCACTAGAATAAAGTGTAAGACATCCTACTCATATGTTACCATTGCTTAGGATCTTTGGAGATTACTTCTTATAGAGATGAACTCTGTGCCTGAAGGGTATGATTTTCCTTTTTAAAATTCTTCATTCTAAATCTGGAAAGGATTTTGTTAATGAAAGAAGCTTAAGATAATAAGGAAGACTCAACTTAAGATATCCTACTTAACGATTGTTGGGTAGTTTGGCTTATGCCTCCTAATTCTCTTTGTTTACTTATCTTCAATGTATTGAAGTTTAACAAACTACTGAAATAAAGATTCAGCAAAATTGAACTATCAAAAGCTAGAGTAGAGGAAACGAAAAGCTTCTGCTGGTAAGAGGACAATAATATAATCAATTTACTCAGTATTGTCAACAACAAGAATCATTTCCGAGTGAAAAGTTCCATTCTTATCACCGGCCACTAGTGTTCCATTCCATCTTATTTGATCTGTTATTTCTTTTACTTTAAGAATCGCATCTTCATGATCTCTAATAATAACAGCTCCTTCGGGACGAATAATCCGATGCATCTCAAGAAGAATATCAGTAATACTACACCTGCAAGAGACATTATTGTATATTAATGCATTATAAGTTTGAATACAATCAGTCATAGACAGTTGACCATGAATATGAGTATATATATTCACTTCAGTATTTCATATAAGGCTTTTAATGAGTGTGTGCCTTCTAATATATTTCTAATTGTTCAGATATGCTTAGTTGCTGATCACATTTCAAAATTACTTTTTATGCTACAAATGGTGTTTGTTTGCCTAAAATTGGAGCTGTCCTCCCCCCACTAATCATGAGTTATACACACGAGCCTTTAGAAAAAATAAGTTAATGAAAAAAATTTAAAATTCTATTTGCGAATTAGCATCATTTCATTTTATTATTATCGAGTGGCAGTAATGAACATAAGTAATAGGGAAAAGTGTTTATCCTTTTAAATGACACGACTTATATCATTTTACTCTCACAAAGAGGTGAGACCCACACCTTTATTTTTTTTGTCAACTCTCTCTCCTCATTTATCTATCTCTTTCTCTTTACATCCTTTAAAATGACACACACTTTTCCCTAAAGTAATAATAGTAAACATGCTGAAATCATCTATCTATACTGATATTAAGCTTACTTGTTCATATACATGCTGAATATACCCCAAGCATGTATTAAATCATATGTTCGTGGGTATGTTGAAAACGGCTCACACCTGCAAGAAAGATAACGTTGTTCCCTCCATTATTTCAACCTCAAAAGTACATACTCATCAGATACCGACCGAGACATAAGTATATCCATGAAGATCAAACGAATCATATGTTAAGATATCCAGAGCAGGACAATTTAAAGGACTCAATGCAAATAACTTTTAGATTGAGGGAAATGACAAACCAGACGAATATACAATAGATATATTAAAGCAGAAAGTAAAAATAAAAAACTTGAAAAGATTCTTCAGAAATTAAAAAGGAGACAGTAAAGATGATAAGCAGTAAATACCAATCCATGTAAGTTCCTATAAGGCCTCGTTCATAGATAATGCCAAGATTGTTGCTTTTTGCATCAAATGGAACGACATTCATAACCCAAACTGGATAATTCACCATTGCAGCTGCAAATCCACCAAAGCCAGCATTCATATCCATAACATTTCGGTATTTACCAGAAGAGAGGGATTTAAGCATGACCGCATAATATGATACTCTCCTTTTCCATTTTCGACTATCTTCAATATAGGTTTTGTCTTTGAGCATGAAGCCATCATTATTTTCATTTCTAACCCTTGGTGGAGCAGTGTTCAACCTCATAGGCCATTTCTCAAGAGCACCACCTGATATTTCATGGATATCTTTCACGTCTAGAAGAGGAAAAATGCATGCAGTCATTTTGGTATACCTGTTGAGTAGTTCATATTTGTGAAGTATGAACATAAAACATGGGAAAATGATCTAGAATATAAACAAGACCATGGGAAAAATTACTAACAGAAACCTTAGCAAAACAGAAAACTCAAAGTTGTTGCCTAGATTTCCATATAGTGCCCTCTGAACAAAAAAGTGATTTGAAATAAAGAAAATTACCATCCAGCATCAGGGTCAGATGAGTTGCAGATCTTGGGGGATCTCAAAGTCTTGAACTTGTGTATGCAACTGATATGATTTGTGGGTTTTTGCCAGATAGCAATCTGTTCTCCCTCAGCAACTTTTTCCCAGCACAGTTGCATTGCAAGGTCTTCTATAAGGTTTTGCTCATTTTCCAACACCTTAGGTTCTGTTTGCCACGCTTTATAGTTTACCCTCCAATTTATGGGTGGCCCAGACAGTACCCAAAATCCACCCGGACGCAAAATCCGGTCAATCTCTCTTAGATACAGCCCATCTTTAATGAATTAAACAGTATCTATCAGATAATAGCATCATTAATTGAAACCAAGTTCTCATATGCTGAATAAATTTAAGTGTTTCTTCTCATCCAATGAGATGTCTCTTTTTTCTTTCTGAAATTTATTTTTAATTTTTTTTTGAAACACTTGATTCTCTGTGACCATGAAGTAGGTGACATTAAAATACCTTTTTCTAATGCATACATTTAGTATCAAAGTAACAAGATTCAAGTACAGATACCATAAGCAGTCCAAGGGACAAGACATCTGGAGCAATGAGCCATGTCAAATGATCTTGAAGGGAATGTTAGTCTATGAGTGCTTAGTACTCCAAGCATTGCTGGAAGTCCTCTTTCTAGGGCAAACAGTACTTGAGCTTCATGTTCATCACTCGGTGCAATTGACATTGTCAAGATATCATAGTCCATTAGAGATGCTCCAAAGCTTGCAACCTACAATTATTGTAAAGAATCAATTCAACTCAATTTTTGGTTTACCTTGTACTTATTTAATTTCACTAAAAAGTGGGGCGGTAAGAAACGAACTCGTGACCTTATGTTCACTGAAGTTCTGATACTATATAAAGAACCAATTCAACCCAAAAGATTAAATTTTTAAGTGAAGGCTCATCAATGATTTATATACTTCTCTAACAATTATGCAAAAATTTGTTGTAGGAAACAATCAAAGCAAAAAGATAATAGCATCATCGCAGTTAAGTAAAGTTTGTAAATTGGTCATAATTAGTAGAACTAAACAGCTTCAATATGGAACAACAAGAATGAGGAACAACTAATTAACAACATGAAAGGACAATCAAATCCTAGGTTCCCAGTAGCATTTGTAGTAACCTCTAAATCTGAAAGATAATAATAAGAAGAATAACCAACTTTATCGCTCATTTAGCTAAAGTCTTGAAGCAGTTTGAAATAATGAAGAATAAAAGGAAAGAAGAAGAGCATTAAGCATACCCCATAACCAACATCAAGAGCTGTTCTGATAACCCCAGATTCCAAAGGCACTGGAAGAAGACGGTTTAGAGCATCAACATAACCCTTAACTCCTTCAGGAAAGGAAGTGCCACCTCCAGGAAAAACAAAACGGTCACCTTCCAATCTAACCCAATTCTGTGACTTCTTATATTCCACAAGTTTAGGAAAAGGGACATTACTGAACCATGCACTGTTCTTACTCTGAGGCCAAGGAAGTGGCTTTTGGTACCCCACTGGACTTGGGATGAGGCATCTCAGCCTCTCACTGCTTTCTGGGCAGTGACGCTCTTTACGAAACCATTTTCTATTGGGAAAGCGTTTCTGCCTTATTGGGTCTTGACATGGACAGTAGTTGGTGTAGTTACTTGGGCAGAACTCAAAGTGGGATTTTGTTGAAGATTCCAATGGTTGATGATTGAGAAAAGGTGATGAGGTGAAGAAGGAAGAAGAAAAGAGGTACAAGAGAGAGCAAAGGAAGAGGGTGAAGGTGAACAACAAGATATTGAGAAAGGGTGTTGTGATAAACTTTGAGGAGGACATGTCAAAATTCAGAGAAGTGGTTCGTTCTATGTATCTAATATCTATAGCTAGTAATAATAATAATAATAGAACATTATAGTATCAACAGCTTCTGTTTTGTGTTGTGTTTTGTGTTGTGTTGTGTGCAGATTCTTATCTGGTGAGTGAGAAAAAAGAGAAGGGAATCAAAATCAATGGTTGGAATTGGAAAACAAAAATCTGATGTTGGCGTTGGATTATGTGATGTCAATTAAACCGAGGTCCGCAATTTATGCCACAGTCATGTAATGTAACTGATGCTGATGCCCAGCTACCTATTTTAATAAGAATATTACAGTAAAAAAATAAAATTATTATATTAGACCGACTTTTTTCTAAAATAATATTTTTTTTTGGGGCTTAACTTGTAAAAAAAGTTCTGATATTAAATTCGGAGGACTCGGTTTGGTCGATATATGGATTAATTAACTACTGATTCAACTAGTTAAACATAATAATACATAAGAAATATTATAATTGGAGCATTATTATCACAAACTAGCATTGATGTAGTGACAACTGTAACGTAACTTTGGTTGCAACCAAGTCATGAATGCATTTCTTGGCAGCAAATGTTTACTTTTCTTGCCAACTCATAATACGGTTTCATAATCAAAATAAGAAAAGTTGTATAATTGGTCAGATAAATGGAATGTGCAATGCCAATGAGTAGGGGTGTAAATGGGCTGGGCTGGGCTGGGCTTTGGCCATCCTGGCCCAAGCCTACGTCAAAAAAAATTTGGCCTATCTGGCCTACTGGCCTATTAAAGGCTTTATTTGTAGGCCAAGTCCGGCCCATTTTCGAAAATAAGAAAGTCTGACATGGCCTACAGGCCTTGTAGGCCTCCCACTATATATACTAAACAAAAAAAATAATTGTATATAGCAAAGATAGTTCCATTCATGCATGCACTAGTACTTCTCATAAGAAAAAATGACAAACAAGAAAGAGTCAACATAATACCTCAGCTCTAGAATGTATATCATAGAGGAATAGAGTCAAAGAAATGGGAAAAATAAGAAAAATACAATTATTGGATGTTGAAATAAAGTCTACAAGAGAATGTCATTCTTCTAAAAATATTTAAACCACCATCAAGACAAGGGAAAGAAGAGTATTATTGAAAGATCTTCATCAGTAACATCATAATCCAGCAAGGTACCCATTGCTCCATGGTATTAAGCTGCAACAACATGTAAAATTTGGAGACATTAGACAAGTTTTCCTTTCATAAAATAAAATAGCACAAAAAGTAAGAGATATTGATATTTGGTACTTTGTATCTTTGTCACACAAAATAAATATTATTTTATTATTTTATTTTAATAAATTAAATGGGCCAGCCTACAAGGCTATAGGCCGGGCTAGACAAAATTGGCCTATGGCCTATTTATTAAAAAAGCTTTTTTATAAGCCTAAGCCTACTCTACTTTTCTGAAAGGCCGGGCCTAGGCTGGGCTCAATGTAGGCCGGGCCGTAGGCTGGGCTGGGCCAGCCTGGCCCATTTACACCCCTACCAATGAGCTTATTTTTTTTAATAAAACCACACCCCCTTGATTTTAAAAAATGTTACATTTTAAGAGAAATAAAATATAATTAACAAAGATGTAACTTTTAATTTAATTGATATTATTTTTTTGAGGAACATGAAAAAATGAGACCTAAAATTTGAGTTTCCTATACAAACCATTTTTCATATACGATTGGATATATAACACAAGTACACAACTTTTGGTTTCTTTATTTTCATAATCAAACTACATTTTAAATTTAAACTTACACATTTATTCAAACCCCAATTTGCCACAAATATTAAATACCATCGTGCTCCTATCAGGCTATTTTTCTAAGGCAACCTTCTGAAACCTTTCAGATAGTCTAGCAAGGTGTAATATTGTATGTGTCTGTTTTCATAAAAATAAATGGGGATTGTTGGAATTATTATTAAAAAGCACATATTTCCCCCCAAAAAATAGGTGTTTACTAACGTGGTTTGATACCAAAACGATTATAAAGGAATCAAAAGTTTTAAAATCCAGCAAATGCCCTTGGGTCATGAAACTGACAAGAAAGGACCATTAGATGCCCAGCAGTCAACAAAATTATATCACCATTATATGATCTTAGAGTTTTATGTTTATTATGTTACATAATATAACTTCATTTTTCTACACATATTTTTCTTTTTCTTTCATCATTCCACTTTCTCTCTCCTTTATTTTGTGTGTTGAAAACTAAACTTATGTTATGTAACATAACATTAATAAAACTCATGATTTTATATATGTTGAGTATTATAATGTTCAAAACTTTTATTATCTAACTATTAGGTTTTTTTTCCTACATTTACTTGAAGAAATAGATAAAAATAAGTCACACAGTCTATGTCTGCTCGGCATATAATAAATTAGACTTGACCTAAGATATTAGTAAAATAAAAATAGCTTAAACTTAAAAGAAAGTATATTTAGAAAACATGTTATAGATTTACTCTTATAAGGTATGATCTATAAATTTACAGGTCTTTTTATATCATATTATTTATTTTAATTAAAATAAAATAAAATAGATATTTAAATAGACTAACATGCATATCTAAACCAGGTCTTTTCAATTTTTAATACAAGATAGCTTACACTAGATCAAACTTAAAATATTTATATAAAACTGAGGTCCATATACACTCCTATTGAAGAGAATATGATCGATTTATGATCTTAATTGCAGTTATTATTTGGCTTTTGTGGAAGAATCCTATTGACTATTGAGTATTGACTTGGTTTTCAATCAATAAATCAAATCTCCCCCTCGTGAAACAAGATGGAATTCTTGTTTCTTCTTTCAATATTCGACTTCAGATGGCTACCATTTTACAATTCAAGAATTGTTTATTCTTGACACCAAATCATCAATTAACTTCAATGGAAAATTTCTCTCAAGAATAAATATATTACCAGAAAAAAAAAACATTTATCCTTGACTTTATTTTATCGTCGAAATGCTCTTCCTAAAACAATAACTTTTTTTGGCAGTTCGTGACAAATTAATGAGGTAATTGCAAGCCAATCAGCGTATTAACTCTTAATATATGGAAAAGTTTAATTTTAAAGAAATAATGGTGTTTTTTTCAAAAAAGTTTTATTCCAAAATTAAAAATTACTAATTTTTAAAATTTTAAAATAAATCACTTCAAATACTTAATTTATTGATGATTGTGATTTGAAAGGTGACCTTATCGTACACGACAATGTATCTTTTTCATTTCATCTCCCTTTATATCTCAGCCTCAGCCATCATGTCTCTTCATAACGTTAGTCATTCAAATCTATACCTCTCTTCCGGAATATTTTCATTCTGGTTTTCAAAAAGAATAAGGGACACATTTCATCGTTATATTAGGTTGAAGCTATTAAAATATTTTATTTTATTATTTATTGGGTTCACATTTTTTTTAGAGTGAAGATAGATAGCTTATCTATATTAAGCTCAAAATGATGTCGTTTTGAGGCGAAAATCAAGGTATTTTTGTAATTATAATTTATTTCAGGGTTATAATAGTCTTTTTCATTATAATTTTTAATTTTTTAATCCAAAACGACGTCGTTTTGAGAGTGAAGGTAGATAATTTATCTACACTTACTTTATAAACATTAAAGCCTTATTTATTATTGTATTTTAAATCTTATTTTTTATTTTAAAATAAACTACTTCAAGTTCAAATGAGCACGAATCTGTTGATGTTCGTGAGTTTAAAGTATTCGGTTACTCTTTTTATGATATATATCTTTATTTATATTTAAAACAAAAAATCAAATTTTATTAATTATTTTATCATTTATTCATACTTTTAAATAATATATTTTTTTTTTATTAATCTTTTCTTTGCCAGTGAGCACCTTAATTGATTAGAATGCTTTTTAAGAATATATTAATTAGGCTAAATTGCAATTTAACCCCCTGTACTTAGATCCTTATGCAAAAAACCACCATTTACTTATAATTAAAACTATTAACTATTAACCTAATTATACTATATAATTTAAACAAATAAACATAAATGTTAAAGAGACATCCAATTTCGTTAAGTTTTGTGTGAAACACCAAAACGCATTGTCGTTTTCTACCCTCCCAAAATTGGTTCATGCGCCGCTCTCCACTTTTAAAATACATATGACTTTTGTTGCTGTGCATTGAGTTCTAAGAATTCCTTGAACTTGTTGTAATGCATGCTTTCTTGGATAGTTTTGCTTTGCTAGTTCATCTAATTCAGCAACCATCTTCACTGCTGTATTCGGAAGATTCATCTGAGTAAAAAATAAATAAATCTATGAGCAAGAAAGGTAATGTTGCAACATAAAGCCCATAAAAAGGCGACACTTGATTGCAATTTGGATGAAAGATAGCACGAAAAAGAAAACATGACAGTTGAAAAATTTGCAAAACTATATGCAGAATGAAACCATTTTAGTTCATAGAAGGTGGTGATATAATGAACTCACCTCTTCCTCGCTGGCAAGATCAAGTTTCTTCACAAGGTACTTTTGAATAAATGAGACGGGCACAGTACCATCCCTGTGATGAGGTCAGAAACAAAGAATTACACAATTATGATCTACAAATGCTTATCATGAAAAAGGGAATATGTTCAAGAGAATTAGAAGAGAACGGAAAGAGGAAAGAAATGAGGGCAAGCAACATAGAAAGAAAGAGGCAGGAAAAATCAACACATTTCAAATGATTCATATGAAAGTTGAGTTCCCTTTTGCTAAATCTGTGATTCAGACAATGATCTTTACTGAATCTATGGTTATTCTCAGAAAATTGTTCCAAAATTAAGTTAAAAAAATATGGGAGATTGATGTGCACTATTAATTAGTTGCCTGAACATCATACTTTCTTAAATTGCAACATGGAACTGTTTGTTTGAACATGTCAGTCGCATCTTTAAAAGCATAAACTTCCCCCCTTGCAATTCAATCCTCGGCAGTTTATGAAATCACGAGGTAACGTATAAAAACAAAAACACTTTTTTTTATCTTATTATTGACCGTTAGCCAAATTTTGACACAACAAAATGAGAAAAAATATATTTGTTCAATTCACAAGCCAAATTTGTATTCACTTAATAGCAAAATCAAGCAAAACTTTAAAAACTAAAAATATAAACAAATCAGATAAACAGAAAGGTAAGAAGAGTCAGAAGAAGTACTTTATTCTTAAGTAACAGGCTAAGATCCGTGGCAAGGGAACATCTCCTTTCTTGGATAATAGCATCAATTTCTTTAAGGTCCACAGAAGATCAACACTTCATAATTAATAATATTTTCAATTATAAAAAGCTAATTTACTGGTCTTTTAAAGCAACTAATGAAAACCATATAGGATTATTTTTTCTGATGGAGAGAAGAAAATAAAGAAGAGACGAGGAATGTGTCATCATGTGAAGAGAGCGGTCACAAACATGTGCGGGGACTTAGGAGAAAAGTAAACGACATGTGTTTTGGGGTTTCACAATAAAGAATTAGATTAGATGTTTATTTGACGGAGATGCTTAATTGTTTAAATTGTATAATATATTTAAGTTAATTATTTTAATTAAAACTAAAGGGTGATTTTCTGAACAGAGATCAAAGTTCAGGGTACTAAATTATAATTTAGCCTATTAATTATTACTTGTGCTGTACCAATGGTATACTAAAATTAAATAATTAAGCATATTCGAAAATGGTCCAACATCTTTTCAGTACCTTGCTGGATATGGAATTTCCAATGTTAAAGATCAATCAATGAAGAACGAAAGATCAGAAAAGAAAGTGCAAAGCACGTTAAGCGGCTGCAAGAGAATGTTAACCATTTAAAGAAAAGACCATAACTTTGCGTAAAGCACTAATGTGTTGTGTCCTAAAGGAATAGGAAACCTATGCTCTACAATTTTTGACTATTCCACTCATTCATTTAAGCTTTGACAATGATGTTTGCATAAAGACAAAAGGAACTTCGATAGTTTTGGACCTCAAGAGGTGAGCCTCAAAATTGGCAGCACTAGGAACAAAACAATAACTTACAGAGTTGACTCTTTGTAGTTTATACTATAGTGAAATTATATTACTGTATATACATGTCACTTCACTTCATATTAACGTAATCAATTATTTTTCAAATTCATTTAACGAAAAATTATTATATATACTTAGGAAAAAAGAATTCTTATGTTGTAAGAGAGCTCTCTTCTCATGTTAGTGAAGGTTCGTTTTGCGTGTAATAATTTTTTTTATTTTTTATGTGTGGACCCCACCATAAATTTAAGTATATAAGAGATTTCCTCCTCTCCAATAACATGAGAAAAGCAGTGCCCATATACTTAACTACTAATTTCATTTCTCAATTTCCTTTCAATAAGGTTGTATCTCGTCATCACAACGTCAAGTATAAGATAAGATTTGACATTTGGTTCATCAATTATGTGATATTATTTTTATACAAGCACGCGGGCGTATAGTTTATTCTTCAACCAATCTTTTATTGTAATTTAATCCAATGATTCGAAATTATATAATTCCAAAAAAAAAAAACAATGAATAAATACTAAAAAAAAGTATTTATAAATACAATTGCTCTTTAAATAAATAGAAACTTAAAAAAAAAATAAGAAGAAAATTTGACTTTATTGTTAATTCTATTTATTATTAGAGTTTAGGGTGTATATATAACGGACAACGGTTCATGAAAGAGTTCCGTTCCGTTCCGTGTTGACGAGGTAGGTGCACACGAGTGAAAAAGTGATGATGCAGAGATGAAACAAACAAACATTGTGAGTGTCACCTTCTATATCAATAATTGACGGCTGAAACAATCTCTGGTGATTGCTTCTATATGCTGTTTAAGCTCAACACTCTTTTTCTTTCACTTTCTCACCCAAAATATTCTTTTACATAAAGTTTAAGCCTTTGAAATCCCCACTAAAGTGATCATTCTGCAAGTTTTATATTTGTTTGTTGAGTTATAGCTGGACTTGGAAATCAAAATATGATGACCATCTTTGAAAAGTTTTGGACGAGAAACACCTTAATTGGTCTTGGGTTGGGACAGTTTCTTTCTCTTCTCATCACTTCCACAGGCTTCACATCTGATCAATTGGCTAAAAAAGGTTTAACTTCATCTCCATCCATGCATCCTTTATATGCCTTTAAGACTATATTATTATTGTATATACAACTATTATTACTGAGGACTCGTTGATTTTATTTTATTTATTAAAAAAATTACGTAAGTGCTCTTTGATTGCCCTTGTGGTTTTTTATTTATACTTTGGCCTACTAAGTTTCATAATAAGATTTTTTGTTCTGTCCCTTCTTGTTCGACCATTGTCTACTTAAGTTCATTCTATGCATAATTTTTTTTGGATTTTAGACGCCTGATACAATGTTTTGTTCTTGTCTTTCATTATCATAGGAATTAATGCTCCAACTTCTCAGTCGTTTCTAAACTATGTCTTGTTGGCGATTGTCTATGGAAGCATTTTAATATACCGAAGGAAAGCACTCAAGGTTATTTAATACATGCTTCACAAATTTGTGCCTGCTTTTGATATATATTGTCTATAAGATTTGATTATTTGCAAAATATGATACAATGCCTTAATTATGATTAAATTTTAAATTTGTTTGAAGTCATTCATTATTGGATTGAGCGAGATTGATGGAGAGAACATGCCAACAATTTTTTTATGATCTTATGCACTTAAACTCCTTATGGATCTCCTGCCATTGTAAACTGGTGCTGTTCATTCAATGACTAATTTGATGAATATCAGTTGAAATTGGGGGGTTGTTATCCAAATATCCCTTTCTTTCGGTTACTCTGATACTAAAAATACAAGTGGGAAAGAATGGTTCATTAGATGGCTGCCAAGATGCCAATGTTTAGATCCTCCATCTATTCCACCAATCTGCAAATTTTTTCAATATTTTTGGGAAGTAGGTAAGGGAGCGAACCGGAGCACTGGTAAAACTGTTCCTTCATGACTGAAAGGTCATGAGTTCGAATCCAAAAAACAACCTCTTTGCAATTATGCAAGGGTCAGGCTGTGTACAAAGATTTTCTCCACCCCACACTCGCTAATCGGGTTTAACGGGGAGTGGTGATTTTTTTTTGGGAAGTAGGTAGCAAACCATAAAAACATGGGTCATGTATTTTATAATTATTTTTTTTTGGTTTTTTGAGCTTAAGAGATTATATAACTTTATTTCTGTTTCAAGAAGAGAGTGTGGGAGTGAAGCCTTGCAAAAGGATCAACTGTTCTGTTTTTTACTCTGTTTTCCCTCTCAATGTCAAACATTTAAAGACAATTTATTAACTATATATGGTTCTAACGCAGGCAAAATGGTATTATTATATACTTCTTGGGTTGGTTGATGTGGAGGCAAATTTTCTTGGTAAGTGTTTCACGATGGTAGAGACATAGTATTAAGTAAAGAAAGCATTGGTGAAATTAATACATTTATATGCAGTCTGCTCAAACAACAACAGGCAGAGTAAAACTAAATTTTAATGATAACCTATATGTCTCAAATTTAAATATCCATATCTAAATTACTTGAAGAGTAACTCTCCTTTCTTTTATATTTATCATTGGACTCTTCCTATGTATTAAAATGAAGATTTGAATGATCTTACTTTCAATGATTTGCAAACTAATTCTCATCTAATGAACAGTTGTGAAGGCGTATCAATACACATCACTTACAAGTGTGATGCTGCTTGACTGCTGGTCAATTCCATCCGTCATGCTTCTTACATGGCTTTTCTTGAAAACAAAATATAGGTTAAAAAAGATAACTGGTGTAATTGTTTGCATCGCTGGCCTTGTCCTGGTTGTGTTTTCAGATGTTCATTCAGGTGACCGTGCAGGTAGGTGGTGTTTTATGTACTGGATACTGGCATCTATACCATATATTTATTACTTAAAACACATATATGCACATTGAAATTGTGTCTGCGCCCGCTCCATATCTTTTTTCTTGGAAATCACGCAACCTCATCAGTAACATGTATCTTTCCATTTTATGGTATTTGTCTGATGTCATATTCACCTGTCATAGGTGGAAGCAATCCTCGTTTGGGGGACCTTCTTGTTATTGCTGGTTCTACCTTGTATGCAATCAGTAATGTCAGTGAGGTAAGTTGATGGCAAATCTGCTTTAATGCATTTTGCAACACTCTTGCAATTAACAATGTGGCACAACATGATAAATACATATACTTGCTAACCACTATCGAAAACATTGATTACTATACGAAGTTTGTGCTTTTCTGTCCTTCTAAATATAAATTCTTACTAGGTAAGTGTTTCACTGTTTTCCTTCCACTGAATCTCAAAAATTCTTCATTCCTACATTATACGGATCTGTACTTTGGTTCCTGTTTTATGCCCTTTCATCTCTTCCACCATTTGTTTACTTTGCTTTTGTACTTCATGCCTTGGTGCTTCCAGAAACTGAGGAACTCATTGTATTAACCTTTTTAGTTTTTGATGTGAGTCTGAGGATTTTTTTATTTCTGTATCTTTTTAAATATATGTTCCATTTCTAACTTAGCCAGTGTGTTTTAAACTGTCATTACTCATTCATGTAGCCTAAACTTATTTGAAGTGTTGTAGGAGCTATCAAGTTATGTAACATCAACATGGCACTTAATTTGACAGTGCTTGTTATTATGTATTGAATGACTTTCAGATATATTATGTTCTGAATGAACTTGTTATCAATGATGTAAGGTTTGATTAATTTAAAATGAGACATGCAGACTGGACTTGTTATCATGTACCCATGGGCTATTTGTTGGCTTGTGTTTGTTGTCCATACTTTCACGGCAAAATGGACTTGATTCTGGCCTCCTAGCAGAAAGACATTAATGTATTGAATTTGTTCTAATTCTTGAGATGCACTCAAATCTTACATGCACACATGACTGCTCATATTATTGTTTTCTTATGCGTAATCTCCCTTTTGTTGTCATTATTTCTTTTTCATTGCAGGAGTTTCTAGTGAAAAATGCTGATAGAGTTGAGCTCATGGCAATGTTGGGTCTCTTTGGTGGTATTATCAGTTTCATTCAAATGTATCCTTGAAATTGATTATATTGTGAGGAGTGTGGGATTTTTCTGTTTTAATTTTTTTTCTTAGCTTAATTTATGTCTATTTATTTATAACAAGGTGCTGCACATCTTTAAACTAGCTCTTCTATGAAATTTGCACAGAGGAATCTATTTGGAGGCACTTGCCCTTGCTCAAACATTCCTCCCAGCATTTATTGTCTAACACATGATCATATTTGTTTAGCCTTCCAATACATTTTTGTTCTGTTGCATAGCTTAAGGCTCTAATTTCTATCTTTATGCCATATAATATTGGCTTGCTAAATAGTTTAACAAATTATTCTGGGGATTTTTGATTTTGGAATTAACTGTGAAATGTTAAATTGATTAGTAGTTTGTCACAGGTGAACAAAATGCAGTTTTAATTAAGTTTAACTTCAAGTTTTTCAAATGAATAAATTATTTTTCTGCGAGTGTGACGAGATAAAAATCATTTTATCATTTTTTTTTTCCCAGAAGAAAAAAATTGTGATTTTTGTATGAAATTTGCATTTGACTTAATCAAGCAAAATAAAAACATATATCCATTGACTAGAAATATTACATTCTTAGTTTTGGTTTTCCTATTGTAGCCTTAATGAATATTACAGAATGATACTTGAGCGCAAGGAACTTAAATCTATTCACTGGTCGGCTGGGGCAGTAAGCTTTCTCTATCCATCTGTGATTATAACTGAGTAATTTACAGAATTCCACTTTAACTAAGATGCCTGCAATGCAAGGCTGTGAGTGACTATAAGAAATCATTGCTTATAATTGAATGAGAAAGGAAGGTAAGAAGTTAAACAAGTTCAAATTCAGGATAAAACCACTTGGCCTTGATACAGATAAAACATCAAAAGGTTATAGCTGAGCTTTGAATTTAATGGATTCTTCTTTACCAGGCTTTGAACTCAGCATCTTGTGATTACTTACTGAAATATGTGAATCTAATAAAGTTGGACTTCTATAAAAGATTCTGTTTAGTATCTGCATAATATCTACCACCCTGACCCTAAGCTGCTTACTGGCCTGTGCTTAATGATTATAGATATTTCTTTGTTTTTTATTTTTATATTTTTTACTGTATGTGCTATTATTCATGTCAAGTTGTATATGTTGTCACAATATGTCAATTAGTCTGATGGAATATCTGCAAGCATTATTATTTGTGTTAATTTCTTTCAATGTTGGTTTCAGGCGCTTCCCTTCGTTGGATTTTCTGTGGCTATGTTTATGTTTTACTCTTTGGTCCCTATTCTGCTTAAGGTTTGGATTCAATCCATAAAAATTCTGCAGATTTTTTTTAGAAGTTATACTTGTTATTATGGCTGGAATAAAACAATAGTGCTGAATCCCCCGGCCCCTAAAAAAAAAAAAGGAGTTAATTGATAAAAAAACTCTAGGATGTAGTTCTTTCTTTTAAATCTTTCTGTCTCTGTCTCTCTGAATGTTTCTCTATTATTTTTGAGTCTGATCTTTATTTCTGGTCCAAAATAATTTACTAATTGTGTAGCACAGTGAAATTTTTATCACCCTTCAAGTTTCTTGAAATTCTTTCTTAGTATTGGAGAATTTTTTACTTACTCTATAGTCTGTAAATGTCCAACTGGGAACTAATATTTTTAAATATGTTATGTCCTTTTGTCACAGATCAGTGGTTCTACCATGCTAAATCTTTCTCTGTTGACCTCAGACATGTGGGCTGTCGTAATTCGCATTTTTGCATACCATGACAAGGTCTGACAGTAATCTTGCTGCCCTTGTATTTTTTCAATTTAGAATTTCCTAATAGATGTGAATCACATTTTCAGTGTGCTAACATCTCTAGAACTAATTATGCTTTCTTTTCTAGGTTGATTGGATGTATTTTGTGGCCTTTGGTGCTGTTACCATTGGAATTGTTATCTACTCCGGGTATGTGTTATTATTGCACTTTCTTCTCATTAATATTGCTGTTTATGTTGGGATAAAGAGCAATGTGTGCTTGCATGCATGGTCTGTCCCAAGCCAGGACAAAGGAGGAGGGTTGACGTCAGGTGTAGCGAATCGGCCATAAAAAGCAGCTATATTTATGAGATTACCACCGACCCCAAATAGTTTAGGATAAAGGTGTTGTTATGTCGGGAGGTTCTTTGGATTTTTCGAGAAATGAATGGTTGCATTCATTCAGCTAATTTTAGCACGTTATTACATTCGTTAACCTTTTACATTGAATATCAATGACTATTTATTAGATGATATCAAAGCCCCTGACCAAGTTGTTAGGAATTCCATCTTTGCAATTCTCATTCATCTAAACACAAATTGAATTTCAGCACAAGACACCCACACTTCAAGCCCAAAATACTTGTGAGGCAGCATGTTAGAAATATAACGAAGCCATTTATATACAATAAAACTATTTATATGCCCGTTACACTTTTGGGATATTTGATTCATGACATTCTGACACAGTAGTTTTCAAAAAGACCTATATGGATGTTCTGTTAGCTCAAGCTCAAGGATAATTTCATTAGTCCATTATCCTATATTATAGAGACTTGTGGCTTGTATTATATCTTTAGATATATCTTAATACATTAAAGTTTGTTTACCTATGGTGTTTCATCTTATTGCAGAGGTGACAAAGATGAGAATCAGCTCCCTCTTATTGCTAATGAAGATCCTCAGCCAACCAAACAGGATGAGGAAGCCAATTCAGGAAATCATAGCAAAGGAACTGTAGCTGGAAGCTCAAAAACCTGGGTAGCTTAAGAAAGTATCGACCTTGAGATCCATACAGGGAAAAACCATGAGGAAGAGTCTCTTTCAAAAATGGAGATTATTCCTAATTTACTTAGCTTCTCCAAGACTGCAATCCAAGAAGCACGCATATCGATTATATTCATTTAGATGTTGTTCTTGTCCACTTATCTTAACATTTGAAGGCAGAATTTTTAGATGGAATTTTGAGAAATTTTTTATGATTTGGATATTAATAGTCAACTTTTTAGTCCGTATGCTGCTAATTATCTGATATTTTTCTTCACAGAGAAATTGATGAGAAATATATATATACAGAGAGCGGAATGATATATTTACAAACTTTTTTAAATTTTTTTACAAATTATACCATCTTTTCTTGGAGAACATAATGAAACTTAGTGTTCTTCCGGGAGAAGATAATGTAGTTTATAAGAGTTTGTAAATAAAAAAGTTTGTAAATATAACATACTCCATATATATATATATATATATATATATATATATATATATATAAAGGTAGGATCATTTGACACCAGTGTCAAATTTAAAATTTGACATCTCATCTGAGAGCCATTAAATCAAAAAAGATCAATGACTCTGATTTGTAAGCATGTGATACCATTGATCTTTTTTTATCTAACGACTATCAGATGAGGTGTCAAATTTCAAATTTGACACTAGTGTCAAATCATCTGAGAGCCTTTAGATAAAAAAAGATCAATGGTGTCACATGCTTACAATTAGAGTCGTTGATCTTTTTTGATCTAAAGGCTCTCAGATGAGGTGTCAAATTTGAATTTTGACACTGGTGTCAAAAGATCCTGCCTCTCTCTATATATATATAGGGTAGGAGTCTTTGACATCAGTAACAAATTTAAAGTTTGACACCTCGTCTGATTGTCATTAGATAAAAAAAGATCAACGAGACTCTGATTTGTAAGCATGTGGCACCATTGATCTTTTTTTTTATTCAACGGTGAATCAATTAATTTAAAGAAATATATAAACAAAACGACGTAGTCTTTGGGTGGACAAAGAAAAATATTTCTCAAGCTCATATATATATATATATATGGCAAAATGATTTCTGCAGTCGCAGTAACTACAGCCAGGATCTGCGTCCCCGCTTCCGGATCCTGTTTTTTTTTTTTTAAGTTGTGGGGCTCATTTTTCTGTGTCAGCTGCAGATAACACTGTCTACGGCGGCTGCAGAAATGTTAAGTCCTATATATATATATATATATATATATATATTAAAGTAGTAATTGTTTGCCATCTCTTAAGTTTCGTTTGAATTTGTGGTAATTGTCATGTTTGGTACATGAAATGGTCTCAACGAATAGAAATGAAATGACAAGTTTTGGAATGATCATTTTCAGTCCACACTTCAATAATTTTCAGAATAGTCAAGTGTTTAAATTTTTGATACACAGAATGAATGCAATGCAAAGGAATCAAATTTAATTTAAATGACTTAAACATCTCTCGTGAGAAAAACATAGGTTAGCTTTTTTACGAATAATAATAATTTTTTTCATAAATAGCAAAAATTATTGTCATTAAAAAAGAGTAAACATTGTATTATTCGTAAGGTAATTTCAAAATGCATACAATCTTAGATAAAATACTTCATGTATATTTTTATGGTGGATTTGTTTTTTTGTAATGAGAATTGGCATATATATGATATTATGATTGAACTTTCGCCATAGTAGTTGGCATGTATGATCGTGGAGGTTGGTAACTTGACCTTTTAAATATTAAATTTTAATAAAAAAATAATTTCTTGACTTTGTTTAAAAGTTATATACCAACTAGATATTAGAATAAGATATTTTTTGATTAATTCATTTTAAATTTTGTAATAATTTTTAAAACCAATGATTGCTACATACGTGTCGGGTGATGATTGGTACGTGACAAAATGCTGACACAACAAAATACAAAAATGTACGAAACCGCAATTCATAGCATAAACAAGTTTAGAAATGTAATTATTAGTTTAAATGGTAATGAAAGTGAAGATTAGGATTAAAGTGGATTACAGTTGCAGCATTAGAAACTAGAAAGAGTGATAGAAAGAGTGTTGAGTAGAGGATGAAGTGTTCAGCAGTTAGCAGAAGCTACGGCGCCGGCGGTGGTTGTGTTCCCGGTGGCCGCGTATCCCGGTGGTCCTCCTCCGTCCAGTCTCAATCTTGTTGTTCAGTTTCGCTATGGAGAACCAGAAATCGGAAATCTATAAGCATAACTGCTTCCTCGTCGTTGAATGGGAATGATGATAATGGTTCTTCTTCTCCTTCTACTTCTCCTGTGAAGGTGCTTCGAGGAATCCTTGATTCCCCAGGGATTAAGCAGTCTCCTGTTGTTTTCGATGCTCTCAGTGCTAAGCTTGTTCAATCTGCTGGTTTTCAATTGTGCTTTACCGGTGGTATGGTATCTATGCTATGCTAATGCTAATGCTATTCTATATTGTTTACCTAAACAGCTTCACTATTCTTGTTATCTTTTTTGATTTACTAGGTTTCGCAATATCAGCTGCGAGATTGGGTTTGCCAGATACAGGTTTGATATCTTATGGAGAAATGGTGGATCAGGGTCGACTCATTACACAAGCTGTCTCTATTCCTGTCCTTGCTGATGCTGATAATGGATATGGAAATGCTCTCAATGTCAAGAGGACTGTTAAGGGTTTTATTTCTGCTGGTTTTGCTGGAATCATGCTTGAAGATCAGGTTTTATATTTATCTCCTGTTATTATAACACCTTTGACCCTAACACTATGATGTGATGTGATGTGATGTATACCTTATGCATCCTGTGATATCAATGATTTAAAGTATTTTATGTATTACCTCAGTTGGTTCTGTATGAACTTGATCATTATTGCTAGATATCTCCCAAAGCATGTGGTCACACGCGAGGAAGGAAAGTGTCGTCTAGAGAAGAGGCAGTGATGCGGATTAAAGCTGCCATTGATGCCAGAAGAGAGTCTGGCTCTGATATTGTCATTGTGGCGCGTACCGATTCTCGGCAAGCTGTGTCATTGGATGAAGCACTCTTCAGGGCTAGGGCATTTGCAGATGCTGGAGCAGATCTTATTTTTGTAGACGCACTCACTTCAAAAGAAGAGATGAAAGCTTTTTGTCAAGTTTCTCCCCTTGTTCCAAAACTGGTTTGTTTTTATTCCCAATCAAAGACTTTGCCGTGTCCACTGCATTGATGCTTGTTTAGATGTCAAACACTCACGCTAAGTCACTAACACACATAACACGTTTCCTTGTTCTAATATGCATAACAAACACTAAGTCACTAACACACAATTACTCTCCAACACTCCCCCTTCAAGCTGGGGTTCCCTGCTTGTTACAGATAGAACACAGTCACACGTCCTATTACAACTGAGTGATTTTATAAAAATATTAGCTAGTTAGTCCCCAAGTTCACAAATGAAATTTAAATAAATCCTTGCTGATTTTTTTTTTTAGTGACAATCACACTCAATATGTTTTTTCCTCTCAAGGAAAATAAGATTAGATGTAAGATCAAATCAATCAATTGCAATCTGGTAATCACACCAAAGTCGCATAGGTCTAGAGCTTTTGAAACCAACTTCTTCAAGTAATTGACATATCCACCCAATTTCACTAGGAGTCTGGGCCATAGCTTGATACTCAGATTTAGCACTTGACCGAGCCACCAAAATTTATTTCTTACTCTTCTTCAAAATCATATTACCACCAATGAAGATTTAGCGTGCTGAATCTGATCCCTTGTTTATAGGAAAACCATTCCAACCAACATTAGAATAAATAAGTTTGCCCACCTGTTTCCGATGCTGCTACTAACAGAAATCTCCATCCTTATTCGGCCCATCCTTGTTTCTTCTTGCATACAACTTTCTAATTGTGGCCTGCTACTAACAGAAACCTCAATCAGTAAACCCAGAGGCTGCCAACAAGTACAGAGCCTCTAATCAACACAAGCAATGCTGGTGAAGGAAGTTGAGGGGAGTTTGGGCCTCTTTGGTTTGATTTAGGGATGGCTTGAAACAAAAATTGTTGGCTTTTTTTTCCTGCTTACCGTGTATCAATTTCATAGCTGCTGATTATTTGTCGTTATGACATAATTTCAATAGGATAAAGTATTGTTAACTTGTACTCTGGTGTAGGCCAACATGCTTGAAGGAGGAGGCAAAACACCAATACTTAATCCTCTGGAACTTGAAGAAATTGGTTATAAAGTTGTTGCTTATCCACTTTCCTTGATTGGGGTTTCTATACAAGCAATGCAGGTGACTTGTCTTCCCTTTTTATCCTTTGATACTGATTTATATTATATGCGCTAATGAGTTCATAAGTGAGATGAGACATACTAAGAGATGCTTATCTGTGTGGTGCTTGCCTGTGAATTGTTGTTACAGGAATTATACCTTTTAGTTTCTAACTTCTTTATAACAGGCCAAAATGTTGAACTCGTTATTCGTAAAACCTATTTCACCTTTTTCTGATATTCTTCTAAAGTATCATATTATTTACAGATAAATAATATCTATGAATTTGTAGGATGCACTCACTGCCATTAAAGGAGGTCGTGTTCCTCCTCCAGGAAGCATGCCATCTTTTGAAGAAATTAAGGATATCTTAGGTTTCAATGCTTATTATGAAGAAGAGAAGCATTATGCTACAAGCACCAATCAGCAGCTTTCAATGAGAGGTTGGATTAGACAATCTTAACACAAAAATAAGTAAATAACAACCCTTTTATAATGGGACGTTGTAGTGTAAGGGCTGTAGGCTTCTCAGAGTCATATGCAATCTATACCTACTTTTATCTTCTTGTTAGCTGTCAATTAATTATCTCTTCTAACATATTATTAAGCAATGGTTGAATTTGACGCTTTACTTCCATAAATGCGTGTTGGGCCAGGGGGGAGTTTGGTTGACAATGAACCACCCTGTGGATTCATCTGCATGTAGGGAGAAGCTTTTGATTTTTCTTTATGATGGTCTGTTTGTGTGAAGTAACTATGTCTCTGGGATATTTTCAACACTGAATATCAAGTGATATATCTGATTAATATTTTTATTAAAATAAATATAAGCCATCTAATTAATCTATCATAGATAGTCACAAGAAAATTAAACAGCTATCTTTACATCAGTGAATTTCTCTGTTTCACCTCTTGGGGAAAATCAAAGACAGAGGAAAAGGTCTCATGCATATATTCACAAAATGTTTATTGTGCATTCCATTCTTGCATTCTCATAGAAATTAGTTATTTGTCAGAGGGCAGTAGCCTATACAGTATACAACAGGGAGATCAAGTTGATACAGAGCAGACAAGTCAAAGTCTCAAAGATCCCATTGTGGAAGTTATAACACCTGATGTGTACAATGAATATGGTGCAGATAGTTCAAGGGACCCTTTTTCTGGAATCTGGTCTCGGACTCTCAGAATAAAAATAACGGGCAGAGATGGATTCGAGAAACTTGATCTTAGGATTCCTGTAAGTGATCATGCTCTCCAGGTGCATAATAATAATAAAATTCATATTAACTGGTCAGAAAAAGTTAGGGAAGCAACCTACTGATGATTTCCACTAATGACATAAATGATTTTTATCCTCATCAAGTTGCTGCATCTTTATCTCAAATTTCAAAACATTGTGGATGCCAATTACATGATTTCTTTTTGTTCTAGTTCAATTTCTTATGCACTTTTATTTTTCTCACTTTCTTCCCTAGCCTCTTATGCTTGCAATCAGGCATACGTTGATCTCATCGTTCTCTGCTGGCACAATTGAAAACTCCTGAACTCCTCTAGTTTTGATAAGAAATCAGTCTTGTGAAGTAGAACTATCAGATATGTTACATTGAAGTAAATTAGATGATGCATTTGAAATCCTGATAGTTGTGGCCTTGTGGGTGTAGTATACTTGGATGTCCCACTATCCTGAATTAACCACCTTTCTTCCGCCACCTTGCCCCTGCTCTTCTCCCTCCCCATTATATTTGGGAAAAAAATAAAAAAAAGAATGAGAAAGGAGTATAATAGACATGGTTCTTGTTTTATGAAAGCTAATCTGCAACCTGTTTGTTTTGTACTGATTTCTGCTGAGGCTTTCTCCCCATGTTGTGGTTATGCATATTCTTACACTGTAACCCCCTGCATGTCCAATCAGTTAGTCATCTTTAAGTTACGTGTATCTTCAAGTTTGGCATGAAACTTAATCATGTTGAATATTGCTCCATGTAAGATTTCTTGTTTCCTTTTTTCATAATACATATACTTTGCTACATACAGGCTGGATTTCTCGACGGAATCACAAACATAGTTCCTGGTACGTTTACTATTTAGAAATTCTTCTATAATGTATAGATAGATGTCTATTCTACATCTGTGACTCAGTTGAAAGATTTTTTTTGCATTTTCGATTGGTTAATTTTGTCACAACTCTATACAGCTTTGGGTGGTGTAAACTTCAAAGAATTGTTAGATGATGCAGCGGAGGAAGTTGGGGGAAAACTGTTGTTAGATTTTAATGACAGGATGGGCGACAGGATTCAAGTATTTCTGGAGTGATTCTATGTTGCTTGAGTTTCTCAAGTCCAACGGTAATTTTTTCTGAACTGCTGTAGTTTTAATTGAGATAAAGGAATAAATTCATTAAGGATAAAAGGAGAAGATATCCACCTAAAAATATTTCGAACAATAGATAAAAAAAACTTCAACCAAGCAAAGATACCCACTTCCTAGACATATCTGTGAGGGAAAACTATTAAAAAGACCATGAGCTTTGCACCAAGCAATATTTCGAACAATAGATATCCACCTAAAAAGGAGAAGATATCCACCTAAAAATATTTCGAACAATAGATAAAAAAAACTTCAACCAAGCAAAGATACCCACTTCCTAGACATATCTGTGAGGGAAAACTATTAAAAAGACCATGAGCTTTACACCAAGTAGAAGCCCAAGGCCTTATCCTATCCCAAAGAAGCTGCTCACTCAGAGAGCCCTCCTTAAAGAAATGAGAATTATACTCCAACCATATGCACCGAAGAGTAGCATAGACAGGACATTGCCACAAAATTTTAGATTCCTTATTTGAATTTTATTCATGGCTCCCCTCTCTTCATCATGGTCCACAATTTTTAATGTTCTTTTCTTTTCTGGGAGGGGCGTGTGTTCTAGACTTCTAGCAGCTCCAAGGACATGATGGTGTCTTATTCTACATTTTGTAGTTGATCATGAATAGTGTACAGATATTTTGGCTCCCCCACGTTTCATCATGGTCCAGATTTTTATTAATGTTATTTTTTAAATTATTTATTTATTTATTTTATTTTTTTGGAGGGGGGGGGGGGCTCTAGCAGCTTCGTACATTCTAGTTTAGATATTTTGACAGCCCTTACTAGGTGTCAGTAGTCATTTTTCTCTTTCTTTTGGTGGAATATATGGTGTCATCAGTTACTGTACTAATGAAATGATTTAGTAGTGTGATGCCTTCTCTTCCTTGTAGGTTTTTTTAAACCTATTATGCGATGCTAATATATGTTACTGCTGATATTTATTGGTACAGTGGAATATTTTTTTTTTTTTTTTGTTGGTACATTGTGGAATATTTGTTTTGGCCATAAACTGATATAGCGGATCTGGAAGTTTATTTTGAAACCATAATCCTCCATTTTATTTATCATAAGAGAGATTTTTTGGTTAACAACTAGACATTTATATTTTGTTCATGCACCGGACTAATAAAAAGTTAGAGATGGGTCAATTGGTTGGACAAAATCTGACTGGTGGGAACCAAATCAGAGAAAATCAATCCTTTATTACTATTGATCCAGAGCTCAAACCATCATGTGTATCCAACAATTTTCTTTATCATAAACTGTTACATGGATCTCTAAAATATGTCCTTCTACGTCATTGATATAATGCTCGTAAAATCAGAATCCAACAAGAAAACTATTTTGACGGATGCTTCCTGAGTTACAGGTGTTGCATCTTTAAGCTCCTTTTCCCCCTTTATTTTACTATCTTACCTGCTAAAATTTCATATTTGACAGATAGTTTTAGTGCAAAAGGGTCCCCCTTCACTTGTATCCTGTTTTGTTTTTCAAAGGAAATATGATCAACCATCAAAATTTGGAATTCAGAGAACAGAGGGCTAATGTCAAAAGTTTTAGAGCCAGTTACTCAAATGTTTAGTTATAAACACGAGTACTTATGCCTGGAAACCTTTGACACTATTCAATTGTCATATCTGATTCTCCATTGCTTTGCTTAAGATGACTATAAATGGAGTTTATAAAGAATATAACAAATTGAAAGGCCCTGATTTATTTATTTTTGCTTTTTGTTTATGTAATTCCAGATTTATGAATTGTATAATACAATAGGCCGTCATGACTGCTTTACATACAATGTTCTTCACTTTGGTAATATAGCAATAATATTTTTTTTATATACAAATTTAACTGTTACATAAATTCAATTTCAAGTACAAGTTTGGAACAAGTTGGTTTGTGTTTGCACATCCGAACAACCGGTAACTACTGTAACACCATTCCTAAATTTAAAGGGGGAGTCTGAAGTCATCCATGTTAATTAATGATGAGATGATGATACTTCCTATAATGTCCATGTTCGTTGGTGATGCTGTTGCAGGAATGGTTCATATTGATGATGATAAGTGGAAGCTCGGAACAAAACCTCATCATGGCTGTTGGGAAGTCTGAAGCGAGGCGTGGTACAATCATGGTCCTTTTGCTCATGTCATCGGGAACTAGTCTTGGTGTAAAATGTTACATGGATTTATTATCCAAGTACTGGTGAAAAAAAAAAGGTTACAAGTCACATCTATAGTCATAAATGGGAAATTTCTTCAAACAACATTTTATAATATTGGTAATTTGGCTCTTTTTCTCTCAACCCGTTTTTATATTTTCTTTGCTCCGTTAGGGAGAAAAATTCCCACATCCTATATAGTTGCTATGGCAATTCTTATGGCAATACCCATTGGGATTCCCAAGATTAGAAAATTTTCCTTTTCACCTTCCCTGTTTTCATTAATTCATTTGTTCTTTTATTCTAGCGGCTCTATTAATTTTTATTTTTTATTTTTCTGTGCTTATCGATACGATACTCATGGGAAGGGTGTGTACTATATCCTACCATTGGAGTGTGGTCTAAGGAATCCCTAACAGGGCACCCATAGAGGGAACAGGTAAAGGAAATGAGGAGCCCAAATTTTTTGTAAGAGCAAAAGAAAATCTTTTATTTAACCACTAGTTATGTATTTGCAATTACATTGACCAATTTCACCTAAATTACTTGGAAGCAACTTTTAATAGAATTCCCAGTACACTGTATTATATATAATCGACTTTCAAAAGACACAAGTTTGGAGCTAAAGTAATTTTTAAAAAGGCAATTAAAGGTCAAATTTTGTAAAGTGTCCAAACACAAGATTCTGGTGTTCAACACGTAAACTTTGGTTTCGGATTCGTCGCCATAATTAGTGTCCAACACCAAAAGCATAGTATAGACCACAAAGTCTAAAGTGTCCAACACCAAAAGCAGGGTTTCAACACCATTCACCTAAAGCAATAAGAATCAGATAACTATAAAGATAAGTGTACAACATCATAAGCATGTATAGCCCCGCATCTTTTTTTATTGTGGCTTGATAATGTTTTTTAGCGATGCTTGATCATCTTTGTGTGATAGTGTTACACGTGTAACATTATCCAAAAAGAGAGTCACATAGTTTAGTCGTAGATGGCTTTATTAGAGAAAAATGAGATTGCAATGGACACTCACCTGGAGTTAGATGGATCCTATCTCATGCGAGTGCCAAGCAGACGATCTCAACATTGTAATATATGTAAAAATATCAAAGCAAGTTATGATAAGCAAGTTAACCCACTATACGACATGAGAACTCGTGTTCGGATTGATTCAAAAAAACTTCTATGTCATGTTTTTATAGAGAAAAATATAAAAAATTTGTCTCATGTCAAATGTCTTATCAACACAAATCCAACTCATTTTTTTCATTTTGACCCATAATTTGTATCTCATATCAACCTGCAAAAAATTTATATTGTATTCGTATTGAAGATTTTGACACGAATACAAATTCGTGCCGTGTTCATGTATTTATGTGTATCAACCCGTTTTGACACTCCTAAATATATGAAAGGAATCATACAGGAATTGATTAAACAAAATTGAACAGGGGCATCCAGTTGCATAATTGTGGTCTGCATCCCAACATGAATATCTAGTTTATCACCTGTTTTTAGACGTCACAATTGAATTAACAAGCATAAAAGATAAACCATTAAATTGCAAACCTTAAATTTGAAGCAAATGTAAAAAGAATATATTAATATCAAACCACCCACTGGTGTACAAAAAATGAGGAACAAGCAAAGAAAGCAATAACCCAAATAAGGTTATTCTATCAAGTCTGGTACACAACTCTGATGCTCAAAGCACCTATAGAAGGGTGACCCAAAAAAAAATAAGAATGGTAATAGCATATTTATAACAAGAATAAACATACTTCAAACTGGGTCACTTTACAGAAAATTGCAACTTTAATGATACACCGCTATAAATCCAAATGTCTCAATGTGGATACTAGTGGTAGCACTGGTATTGGCATGGCATCTATCAACTTGTAGCAAAACATGCAATAATACTTCTTCACCTCTCTATTTAGGAATAATGTTCAATCTCATCGGTAGCCACCATATGGCTGTTGAGCATAAGCACCTGGACCCATCATGGAGTTATAGTTACCTTGCATGTTGGAACCAGGAGGCATTCCAGTTGGGGGTTGCATCTGGACTCCTTGTCCCATACCCATTCCCCCCATCCCCCCCATCCCTCCCATCCCCATACCCATGGATGTATTCATGCCTCCATAGCCTCCCATCCCCATACCAACACCAGGACTATTACTCATGCCCATGCCCATGCCCATACCCATACCCATGCCAGAACCCATCATCGCGTTTGGAGAAGGTCTGAGAGCACCGGCACCAGCCCGGCCTATTCCTGAACCCGATCCCATAGCTTTACCCATAGTTACAGTTGATGTTACAGCTTGGGTACTGGGCTTCTCCATTCTCTTTTCCTTCCTATTAATGGATTCAAAATCAATCCCAATATCTGCTAATGGATTTGTTTTAGCTGCATGTAAAAAAAAAGCATAACAATTAATAGTTTGTCCAGATAAGGTCAACATTGTAACCGTAGTATACGCTAGAAACTGAAAAGGTCACAAACAGAAGCGTTTGAGAAGATGAAAGCACTCACGTCCAGATATATTCAAATTAACCAGTCCCCTGCTTAGTGTATCTGCCCAAACTGTTGATTTTGTCTCGAACTTGTCCTTGGATGGGTGAGCAACTATAGAGTTTGATCCCGTCGGAACAGCATACTGTGCAGCATTAGAAGCAAGTGATTGATGGGTAATTGGTGAGCTATAGGGAACTACATTTCCTTGTTGTCCAATGAAGCTCTGGCTGTTAAACTGTGGTGCTTGATCAGTTGGAGAGTGAGAAGTCATATGGGAAGTTGGGTGAGAAGTAGATCCTCCATGATGGGGAAAGTATGTGCTCTGTGACAGCTGCCCTGTTGGAGCTTGAGGAGTCATGTGTGATGGAAAAGCTGTTGTAGATCCTTGTGGCAGGAAGTTCCCACTGTTCATAGGTCCATTATATACATTTTGGGATTGAGGAGACATGTTTGGAGCTCCTGGAGTAAGAGATCCATCCTGGGAGCGCAACCCACCGTATATATGACCACTTGACTGTGCAGGTTGACCACCTTGAGAAGCAAAAGGTGGCTGCATAGATTGGCCAGCAGATGAAAATGTATGCAGGCCAGGTTGACCAGCATGAGATGAAAAGGGTTGTTGTGCATATTGACTGGTGGGAGCTGAAAAAGGTGATTGCATTTGTGCTGGTTGGCCATTGGGAGCTGAAAAGGCTTGCTGGGTATGTTGACCTGGGGGAACTGAAAAGGCTTGTGCAGGTTGACTGTGTGCAGCTGAGAAACCTTGGTGGGTAATTTGGCCAGTTGGTTCAGAAAATGGTTGTGATGCCATTTGGCCAGATGCAGCTGAAATGTTATGCTGTGAAGTCATCTCAGGTAATGGTGCAGGAGGAAGAATGTCTGCAAGAATATCAGTTTCTAGCTGTGGAATTGACGAATCTTGAGACAAAAACTGAGAATTTGTAGAGAAAGGTTGAGTATCACTGGCAACAGATGCAGAGTATGGTACAACAGCAAATGAGTCCCCAAACCCAAAGTTAGAGATCGTTTCTGGATTAAGACCACTTGATTGGGATGGTTCAATACTCTGATATGCCTGGGGTTGAGATGGAGCTGTTTCAGTCGAAGTAACAGCCTTGAATGGCGAATCGCCAAATGGATCTTCAAAAGACTGCTGAAAGTCAAATTAACAAACATTATTTTAGTAAAGATAAACAAATAGACGGACTGTTCTATACACTAAGATGCAGATCTATCCAAAAGATTAGTCAAAGCCGAGTGTTGAAATACTTATGCCCTTTCTCAAAATAGAAACCTAATTTTCAGAACTCTACTGATTCATTGTGGTCCACAAACAGGAGACAACAAGAAGAATTCCAAGTCATATACAAATCCATTCATTATAGTACTATGTGTCAAAACATAGGAAAGAATAGTCAAATACTTTCTTTCACTAAAAAGTAGAAACAATGAAACAAATACCTACCTGGTTGAAATTACTGGACCCAGGTGTTGGTGCTGCAAAGGAAGCTGTTGAACCAGGGTTTGCTTCAGGGGTTGCAGTTGACGACGTAGCTGGCTCAAGAGGCAATGCATTTGAAGAGAACGAGTCTGACAGGGAACCCAGCAAGTCCATTTCAACATTACTAGAGGTGATTGGGGCAGCTGAGAAGCAACATAAAGATATCATGAATACAAAGCCTAGTAAATGTTACTTGCAGAGCAAATAGCATTAAAAAATTAATGCAAGCTCTTCAAGACCATTAATACTAAACCTTAAACCCCAAATTACTGCCAAGGATAATTCATCAAATGTCAATTAGGGTCATGCCAGTGGTTTTACGAGTATATTGGACCAAAGTTAATTATGACTGGAGTGCTATATCTTGACCACAAACCATGCTGTACTACTCCGTCACACACTACTCAAAATACATATAAATGAAAAGAATTGCAATAAAGAGCTACACTAGTGAATGGCCAACTTTTACCACTATAGGATTCAAGGAAATTATTCTAATTAATGGATCTTAGGATTCAGTTTCAAAAAGTCTTCCAAATTTATGCATAAAATGGTGCATGCATATTTAAGACCAAGGGTCCAACATAACATAATACTATAAATAACTTTACACACCTGATGCAGGACCACGTGGGTCAAAAAAATCATCAGTGGACTCAATTTCCTGGGTTCCAGTTGCAGCAGTACTGGCAGCAGGAGCTGTTTCGGTTGGATTATTGCTTACAGGAGAAGATCCTGTAGGTGCAGAGGTTTGGCTAGGATTATCACTTACATGTGGAGAGGCGTCTTTTGGAACAGATGCTTCTGAAGTTTCTACATCCCTGCAATCAAGATAATATTAGTAGCAGATTCTGTTGTAAACAAGTGTGGTCCATAGCATAAAAGTTCATACCTTTCACTGTGTACAGGGCTCCGAGATTCACCAACAGCTTCTTCATAACTGGGAGGAGCACCCATATTTTTCTCAGAAAGTTTCTGCTCAAGCCTGCCCATGTATATTGCACATATCAATCTTAAAAATGGCTAGCAGAAATAAGAATAAATAAGAGAGAGAGAATATCTCTATGATGAATATACCTTGCTTCCAGAGATTGGTCCTCGGCTTTAGCATTGCTACCTCTGACAGATCATTGCAAAAAAAAGACCAAGGTAGAAATAACATGACATTAATGATTTTCATCGGAGAGCAATAACATGACATTAATCCCCATGTTCTTGTGATAATGTTATATTAGTGTTTGAGAGTGCAGACAAAATGAAGGAAAACAACAGAAAATGCAAGAAAATGGGAGAGTATACAGAGAGTGTTCTCTGTAAATAGGAGATATAAAATTTAAATAGGAGAGTATTTCACAGGTATTATATCATAGAGTCTCATACCGGGACGAGTGTTGGCCATCATCATCACGGTCTCTATCAGAGCTCCTGCTTCTTGTGTCATATTGGTAATCGACACTTCGACTTCTTCCCCTGTAGTCATCATCTCTGTAACCGTCCCTGCCATAACGATCATCGTAATCTCTGCTATAACGATCTCCATCACGACTATACCGATCATCATCTCTATAGCCCCATTCTTTTTCTCTTCCATAACCATAGCCATTTCTATCTTCCTCCCTGCTTCCATAACGATCATCATCATATCTATCACCATAGGCTCCACCGCTTGAATATGAACCAGGCCTATACATTCCACCTGCTGAATTGTTGCGAAACCTGGCGAATCATATAAGATAGTTAATATCTCCTCAAGATTGAGAAAATCACACACATATTCTACCGTGATGAAGAACCTACATTTCATCAGCTTGAACCAATAACGTAAAATAAAGATGATGACAAGAAAACTAGCACCCAGAACTAAACAAACTTCTAGAACCCTAACTATTAAGCAAAAGGCCATGCTTGATATTCCCAAATGATCGAGTGTATAAAAGCTCAAAGTTCTTATCTTTCAGATCAATGGAGATTCTAGGAATACACATGTACTTTAAGCTAAATAAAAAACACTCAGTGCAGAAGAGACCTCTTGTGTATAAAATAAATGCTTGAGCTCTTCCGAGCCCAGCATATTGGTAAATAAGGGGGTAGATATTAAATTTATATAGCAACTGGAAGATGGAAAAATAAAAAAAATCAATAGAATTAATGAGAAGAGACTTACTTGTCCCTGTTAGCAGCAGCCTTTTGCCTAACCTCTATGATTCTTTCTTTATCATTCACAAGGAGAACAAGACTTTGAGATTTCTTCCTGACATTGTTTCCTTGATCTCTTCCGCTGGAATCAATATATTGAAAATCGGACAATGTCTGTTCATATGATGATAACAATCTTATCAGGTTGCATTATAATTTTTAGACCCGTATGGAAACTAACTAACAGTATATAAATTTTAAGTAGTATTGACAAAATGGAATTACTGATATTTGATAAGCATGTTCTCTGATCTCATCTATGACCCGCTCTGACCCATGAGCCACCAAGTACTCTAGTACCGTCAAAGCCTAGTTTTGAACGATAAGCAGTTAATATGGGAAAATAAGAAAAGAACAATTATTTAAGAAAACAAGATCAGCAGCAAATGCAAAAGGAAAACAAGACAGAAATCTTAATACGGAAGAACCCATCATTATTTCAAGTGATGTAAACAAGTGTTAAGACAAATTTCATAAATGGTGTACTTTCAGGGGTACATTGCAGTGTTGATGAAACAGTACATGGCATTATGGCAAAAACAAAAAAAAGATTAGCAGCATGAGGGAGCAACTGAAACAAAAACATAAAATGGTTCGGTGAACAACCTTGTAGACATGCCGCCAATTCTTGCCAGTGTCATTAATTCGCTTCCAGATTACTGCCATGATCATCTGATATTCATGACTGCAGGAGCTCAAAAAATTAGATACTTTGTGGTGAAATACACAATATATCAAGCATAAAATTAAGAGTACAAGCTTACGGGTTTCTGGTTGCCTGAGCTATATCTGCAAGAAGTGATCCGTGAGGACCCCATGGTTCATTGCTGGTAGAATCAAGAACCTGGGAGAGGGGAGAGAAAACAACAAATCTAATTTAGATTTTGCAAAAATAAGATTATAATGCATAAGTTTCAGGATAATCGACATCTATTTCATGAGCAGGTGTCATATAAAAATAAAGTCAAACTTCACATAAATCCTTACACAATTATGATGCTCTGATTAGTGCAGTCATAGTTTCAGTGAAATTTCAAAAGAAAAACTTTACCTTCTGTTCAATCCCAGGAACTTTCAGCACTTTCTTATTTACTTCTCTTTTACTGCAACAATACCACGAAGAATAGACATTTAAAAAATAGAACTAGGCTGTAAATAATAATATTATAATATACTCCCAAAGTAGCAATTACATAGATTACACATCAAACCATAGGTTAATATATAACAAACAGTTATACTTACAGGTCCCTAACAGTTTGACCAATAACCTTCTTCATTGTAGCTGGTGTTCAGAACAAGCTATGAGCCAGCACCAAAGGCCTGAACTGCCATGCACAAATAAAGCCCACTTCAATTTTTTGTCATGCACTGGTTCAAGAAATACTTAAGAGTTTCTCAACAATATAATGGTTACTTGATTTCCAGAAAGAAATTTTCAAGCATTTTCTCTGTTTGCAGCTGGACCAGTATAGAAGTTTAAAGTAATTATATGAAAATGCGAATTAGTGAAAGACTTGATTTATTTATCAAAGAAGACAGTCATCAGTAATAAACAGATATCAATGTCTGCATAGTATATAACGAGAGAAATGAGCATCAAACACGTATGAAGTGAAAATTTAAGCCTTTAATTTAAATGACCATGGTAGGATGTTACATCATAATTCAATTATACAAAAATCATATAGAAAAACTTAAATTACAGATAAAAGCTCAACAAAGGAATCCAACCATAAGTCCCAAATGAATTTTTTGAGATCAACCCGAATTCTCAAACGTTTAAATGATGAGCCAGATACCTACCAATATTGTCTCGTATCACATCTCATAAATTTCACCCCGGCGTTTATAATATCTATCAAAGTTGAAACAATCACAAAGTGCACCAAAACACATAACAAAAAAAAAAGCTGATGATTTCAAAAAGCCAGGATACAAAAAGATGCAAAATCTCATTCAATCAAAGCTGAATCGGAAAGAACAAATAAAAACTAACAGGGAGATCAGAGCTAACTCTAACCCCAAAGCTAATGATTCCAGCAAATAACATAACAAAAATAAAAATTACAATAAACATTGATCCCAAACAAAGCCACCAAGAAACAAGAAAACACAGAAACAAAATAATTGTCAAAAACTAAACCCAAAAATATTGTGAAGCACAATCAAACATAAAATCAAAAGATTAAAATGAGACCAACCCAGAAAAGAATATCAAAATTTGAGAGAAACCCAGATCCAAGCTTTGAAAAAGAAAGCAAACCCAGATCTGCGTAAGAGCAAATGAGATCGAACCTGATCCAATCGGATTAAACGGGAAACCAAAGGTGTTTGGTGCGATAGCCAATGCTAGAGAGAGATAGAAAATTGCAAGACCAGGCAACAAATATTGTTATGCCTCTAAAATAATAATTATAATAATAATATTACGTTGTCAAAGAGAAACACACACAAAAACACAGACTCTCTCTCTCTCTCTACAATTTCGGAGTTAATGTTAAACGGAAGCAAAAAAAGGACGAGGAAGACAGCGCAACTTACACGCACAGAATAATTAAGGAAAAATAACCTTTTTCGTTTTTTATTCTTTCATGATTAATAATTAAGGAAAAATGTTTATCCTTTTAAACGAGACAACTTATATCCTTTCACTTCCACAAAGACGTGGGATCCACACTTTTATTTTTTTGTCAACTCTCTCTCCTCCTTTATCTATCTCTTTCACTCTCTTACAATGACATAACTTTACATCCTTTAAAATGACACACACTTTACCCTAATAATTAATAGAAGATATTATAACCACGAATTAGATTATTATCAATATTACTACCAATCAATTTCACCGTTAGATTAATTATGTTGATCCAATAATTATATTTATTTTCATCTTTGTATGATTATAATTCTCTATATTTAATGTAAAAGCATTTAATATAATAAATAAATCATAATCATACAAAGATAAAAATAAATATAAAGTATTAAAAATAGAGAATTATAATTATACAAAGATGAAAATAAATATAACTGTTAGATCAACATAATCGATATAACGATAAAATTGATTCATAATAATATTAATAGTAACTCTATTTGATTGTTACAATATTATATTTCTAATAATTATAGTTAAAACAATTTTTTTATTGGTTACACACTTTCCTCATCATTATTATTATTATTCGCCATTAAAATATTTTTAGTATTCGTACCTTCCTTTGAAAAAGTTTTGGTGATAATAATGATGTGAGTGTTTTCGGGGGTGCATCCAGGAAGGTGGATGGATGGTATTCTCTGTTGACAGAAATGTTCCAACTTATATCTTATTATTATTTTTCGGTGCATGAGGTGTGTGTGTGTGTCTATTTGATTTTCTTTTCTTTTCTTTTTCCTTATGTTATTGTCAAAATCAAAATTATCTTGCGTGTTCAACGCAAGCTCAAACTCGTTGACCCAATAAAATGAAAAAAGAAACTAAATATTTTACTTTCATTGTAAATAAAAATTGAAAAAATGTTTGGTCAGTATGCCAACTTTGACCCTTCCCGAGTCACCAGGAACTCAAATGATCTACAAACGTCAAAAATAATAAATATCAGTGTTTCTGTGTAATGTGTCAGACCCGAATTTTGACGTCTTCTGTTCTGTCAATAAGGCACAAAAACTTGGCACACAGTTGATGCGGATGTATATATAACTTTGATAGTAACATCTTGCTATAAAATAAGGGTTATACAACTATTATGTTATAGAAAAAAATACTATTTAGTAAAAATGAGAAAACAAAAATAAAAATTAACGACCCCATATCTTTATTATTTGTGTAGGAAAATAGATACATATCCCAATAAAATAATGGAGCATATGTCGTTTAATGATGCACCATGGTCTATTTCAACAGGAAAAAAAAATTGTGCATTATTGCATGTCTAGGAATTGTTTTTTACAAATAAACAAGTGGGAATGATCATAGGTTACCTGCTCCTAGTCTGGCAAATGAAAAGTACAAATTGGTATTAGAAAGTTTGGAGATTATTAAACCTTTTGACACCACTGCTTGAACCCACTAGGCCACTAAGAATAAGAATTTAGGCACTTTCACGTAAGAAACATAACGTAGTCACTATTTAAAGTTTAAAGAATATAGGAAAAGTAGCGTACACCCTCTGGACTTCTATGAAAGTGGTCTGTTTTCAATTGATAGTGTGGTGTGGCAGAACTGCTGAAGTGAAATATCACAATTTTTTATTTTTATTTTTATTTGTTTGGTTACAATAGCTTTTTATAAGCATTTATTCTTTGAAATTTAAATGGTTTTTCCGGTTTAATTATTACTAAAAAATATAACGCCGCAACGTGTGTGGCGAAAAAATCTTTCATACTCCTATAATATTATACATCATTCTAAAAAGGGTAAAAATTGAAATTTAGATAAAAATACTAAGTTTAAATAATAATAAAAAGTTCCTTTTTAAGAAAAGGGGAGTACCAATGTACCATATCACCAAAGAAAAATTGGGACATTGACCATTGTGCCACTCCTTTAATGAAAATTTACCTTATTGCTATGTTTGGAAAAAAATTTGCCAAAATGCCACGTCACAATCCCGCTGGTCTGACAAGCGGAAATGGACTGAATACGTGTCAGTGTCTGAATGATCAACCATTCTCGCTGGGCTACCCAGCTAGAATGACAGGATGCTGACACGTGGTAAAAGTACAGACATCCAGAGAATGCCTGTACTTTTGCCACGTGTCAGCATTCTGTCATTCTAGCTGGACAGCCCAGCGAAAATGGTTGACCATTCAGACGCTGACACGTGTCTAGTCCAATCCCGCTTGTCAGACCAGTGGGGTTGTGACGTGACATTTTGGCAAAAAAAAATTCAGGCGAGGCAATCAGGTAAAATTTTGCCCAAAAAGTGACAATATGATCATTGTCCCTATTCATGGGCGGCATGGCATCCCTACTTGTCTGTTTCTCTTTTGATTGTGAGGTTTTTTTTTAAAAAAAAAACACGCATCGTATGATATACGTATCGTATTGTAAAAATATAAATTTCTTTCTAATACATCTCACGATATATATCGTTGGACTTATGTATTGTATCGTATGAATCATATCGTGTATCGTAAGATATTAATAACTATACTTTCGACTTTGGAGTATGGTTGGAGAAAGTTCTGAGGAAAAAAGGATAATTTTTTCATTTGTAAGTTTAGGTAAATATAAAAAAAATTCTAATTATTTGAAAGTTATATAATTATAATTTTTTATTTTAGAAAATTATCAAATAAATAAAATGTTTAATTATGAAGATAAATTAAGAAATTTTATTTTCCTTCTAACTTTTCAATTGGCCTGATGTATTTGAAAGAATTAAATTTCCCCAAATTTTGACAAAACTTTGAACCAAAATTGTGGCAAATACGGCTGAAAACTAGTTATTTGTTTAAGTTAGCTTAATTAACTTGATAAGGAATAACATGGCTTGAAATTTGATATGAGTTCAATATAAACTATTTTTTGTCCTTGAATTTGACTTAAAGTTTGTGAACTTATAAAGATCACCTTATCAGCTCAAATTAAATGAACCAAATAAACCAATGTAGCTCATAAACCCATACGCTATCTAGGTTCATAACACAATGTTAATTTTAAACAAATGTCACACATCAACAAATATTTCTTTTATCGTTTCTTATATATCAAAGATATATCATAGAAAAACGCGTAAACAGTTATCCCAAAGGATTCTGATAACATGAGACCATGAACTACTAGGTCGTATAACGGGCCCAGTATTTCGGACCGGAACATTGTTGAAAAACACATGACTGTAAAAGAAATCAAGTAAGAAAAATAAGTGTCACTCAAGAAATCAAACAATAAAAGTTAAAAATAAAATAAATAAATAAATAAATAATAATACTAAAAAAATTATTAAAATTTGACCACGAATTGATTGCAGAATCAATTTTATGAATAAATGGATTATAAACTATGGACATATATTTTTCTAGACAAGGTAACATTACTTACACAGTTACACACACCTCTCTTCAAAATAGACCTTTTTTTGATGTTTATGAAAAATGGGTGATTACCACTAAAAAAGTTTATCTTTCTTACAATCAACTTAATTATCGTCAAAATAAAATCAAATAAATGATAACTAAAACATGATGGAAAGAGAAAGTTAAGAGAGAGTGGCGTAAATCATGGAAGCCAAAAAAATAATTTATATCAAATGACAATCGTTAATTTCATTTCATCCATCGATGATTAAATTAGTTATAAGAGTGATACATTTTTTTATGATAAATATATTCATTATCTATGAAAAATAGGCAAGAGGTGATTTCCACAATTATAGTAATCACGGATAACTTGAACCCACAACTAATCTTAGCCATATATCAACACTAAGTTCATGGTTGAAATATTATGTCAATTGATGTCTCTTTTTTAGAATTGTGACTAGATTGCCACATTTTTGATAATTTTTTACCAATATGTCACGTAAATAGTATTTTTTTTATCAAATTGTCACGTATTGAAGTTTGTTACGACTGATAGCAAACTTAATAGTCAATAATTTCGTGACACATGTATATTTTCGTAATAAAAGTTGTCTGCCACGTATCCAAGTTCGCTATAACTGGTAGCGAACTTGGTAGCTAAGAATTTTATGACATGTGACACACTTTCGCAAGAAAAGCTGACTGGACTAAGTTCTCTACCAGGGGTAGAGAACTTGGTGTGCTATGTGACACAATCTCCTTGCATGATAAGAATTAATGTGCCAATCACGATCCAAAACAAAGAAAACGAAGGAAAAGTGTTATTTAATTAATGTACCAATCACAATTAATGTACTAATCACCGATCACAATTAGTGCACCAATGTGATTACCTTTTGATTGTACTACTCATAATTAATGAACCAATCACCGATCATTTCAGAAAGTCATAACTTTTGATTCGGATATCCCAATTAGAGGATTTTTTATTTTATTTCAAATATTTTTTGAGATCTACGTAATGACACTTCATTTGTCATATTTTATCTCTCACAAACATCATAAGAATTTGTAACAATGGTATCACAAACAATTAATGTATCAATCACCAATCACAATTAATGTACTAATTACAAATTACAATTAATGTATCAATCACCATTCACAATTAATTTTGATCGTAATTAAATAGCCATTTTTCTCGTTTTTTTTTTCTTTTATTGTGACTGGTACATTAATTCTGAGCAAACAATGAGATTGTGGTCACATAGTGCACCAAGTTCGCTACCCCTGGTGGTAGCGAACTTAGTCCAGTCAGCTTTCTCTGCAAAAGTGTGTCACGTGTCACGAAATCATTGGCTACCAAGTTCGCTATTAGTCGTAGCGAACTTGGACATGTGACAGTCAGCTTTTCCTGTAAAAGTGCATCACGTGTCAAGAAATCATTAGCTATCAAGTTTGCT